ACACACACACACACACACACACACACACACACACACACACACACACACACACTGTGCTGATGCAGCAGGTTAAATGTTTTCTGCTTTAGAAAGTTTGGATTAGTGTTTCTTTAAGCTATTCTCCTGTCATTGCTGTGTGTGTGTGTGAGAGAGAGAGTGTGTGTGTATGTGTGTGTGTTGCTTTGGGCTCATACCTCACAGAGCAGCATCTAGATGATCTTCTAAATTCTACTTGAGTATCAGGATAAAGAGGAAAGGAGGTCCCAGCTGGTCTGACCTACTGGGATTAGAACCCACAACCAGTCTGGTTCCTACCAACATCCTAACCCCGCCACATCGCTGATGCTGCCTCCAGCAGGATCGCCACCAAGCCCAGACCGGCTCTAACTGGTTTCTGCAGCAGGATGTCTGAGGGCCCAGGTCCAGCAGCGGGAGTCGCGTCCGGCACCAGCAGGCGGAGCCTAACGCCGCCGCTGGTGTTTGTTTATACCTGATAGATGTTTATTCTGTCCGCAGGAGTTTGTTTACACCTGATAGATGTTTATTCTGTCCGCAGGAGTTTGTTTATACCTGATAGATGTTTATTCTGTCCGCAGGAGTTTGTTTATACCTGATAGATGTTTATTCTGTCCGCAGGAGTTTGTTTATACCTGATAGATGTTTATTCTGTCCGCAGGAGTTTGTTTATACCTGATAGATGTTTATTCTGTCCGCAGGAGTTTGTTTATACCTGATAGATGTTTATTCTGTCCGCAGGAGTTTGTTTACACCTGATAGATGTTTATTATGTCCGCAGGAGTTTGTTTACACCTGATAGATGTTTATTCTGTCCGCAGGAGTTTGTTTACACCTGATAGATGTTTATTCTGTCCGCAGGAGTTTGTTTACACCTGATAGATGTTTATTCTGTCCGCAGGAGTTTGTTTACACCTGATAGATGTTTATTCTGTCCGCAGGAGTTTGTTTACACCTGATAGATGTTTATTCTGTCCGCAGGAGTTTGTTTACACCTGATAGATGTTTATTCTGTCCGCAGGAGTTTGTTTACACCTGATAGATGTTTATTCTGTCCGCAGGAGTTTGTTTACACCTGATAGATGTTTATTCTGTCCGCAGGAGTTTGTTTACACCTGATAGATGTTTATTCTGTCCGCAGGAGTTTGTTTATACCTGATAGATGTTTATTCTGTCCGCAGGAGTTTGTTTACACCTGACAGATGTTTATTCTGTCCGCAGGAGTTTGTTTACACCTGACAGATGTTTATTCTGTCCGCAGGAGTTTGTTTACACCTGACAGATGTTTATTCTGTCCGCAGGAGTTTGTTTATACCTGATAGATGTTTATTCTGTCCGCAGGAGTTTGTTTATACCTGATAGATGTTTATTCTGTCCGCAGGAGTTTGTTTACACCTGATAGATGTTTATTCTGTCCGCAGAAGTTTGTTTACACCTGATAGATGTTTATTCTGTCTGCAGGAGTTTGTTTATACCTGATAGATGTTTATTCTGTCCGCAGGAGTTTGTTTACACCTGATAGATGTTTATTCTGTCCGCAGGAGTTTGTTTACACCTGATAGATGTTTATTCTGTCCGCGGGAGTTTGTTTATACCTGATAGATGTTTATTCTGTCCGCGGGAGTTTGTTTACACCTGATAGATGTTTATTCTGTCCGCAGGAGTTTGTTTGTACCTGAGAGATGTTTATTCTGTCCGCAGGAGTTTGTTTACACCTGATAGATGTTTATTCTGTCTGCAGGAGTTTGTTTGTACCTGATAGATGGTTATTCTGTCCGCAGGAGTTTGTTTACACCTGATAGATCTTTATTCTTTCTGCAGGAGTTTGTTTATACCTGATAGATCTTTATTCTGTCCGTAGGAGTTTGTTTACACCTGATAGATCTTTATTCTGTCCGCAGGAGTTTGTTTACACCTGATAGATCTTTATTCTGTCCGCAGGAGTTTGTTTACACCTGATAGATGTTTATTCTGTCCGCAGGAGTTTGTTTACACCTGATAGATGTTTATTATGTCCGCAGGAGTTTGTTTACACCTGATAGATGTTTATTATGTCCGCAGGAGTTTGTTTACACCTGATAGATGTTTATTCTGTCCGCAGGAGTTTGTTTGTACCTGATAGATGTTTATTCTGTCCGTAGGAGTTTGTTTATACCTGATAGATGTTTATTCTGTCCGCAGGAGTTTGTTTGTACCTGATAGATGTTTATTCTGTCCGCAGGAGTTTGTTTATACCTGATAGATGTTTATTCTGTCCGCAGGAGTTTGTTTACACCTGATAGATGTTTATTCTGTCCGCAGGAGTTTGTTTACACCTGATAGATGTTTATTCTGTCTGCAGGAGTTTGTTTACACCTGATAGATGTTTATTCTGTACGCAGGAGTTTGTTTACACCTGATAGATGTTTATTCTGTACGCAGGAGTTTGTTTACACCTGATAGATGTTTATATTGTACGCAGGAGTTTGTTTATACCTGATAGATGTTTATTCTGTACGCAGGAGTTTGTTTATACCTGATAGATGTTTATTCTGTCCGCAGGAGTTTGTTTATACCTGATAGATGTTTATTCTGTCCGCAGGAGTTTGTTTACACCTGATAGATGCTTATTCTGTCCGCAGGAGTTTGTTTACACCTGATAGATGTTTATTCTGTCCGCAGGAGTTTGTTTACACCTGATAGATGTTTATTCTGTCCGCAGGAGTTTGTTTACACCTGATAGATGTTTATTCTGTCCGTAGGAGTTTGTTTACACCTGATAGATGTTTATTCTGTCCGCAGGAGTTTGTTTACACCTGATAGATGTTTATTCTGTCCGCAGGAGTTTGTTTACACCTGATAGATGTTTATTCTGTCCGTAGGAGTTTGTTTACACCTGATAGATGTTTATTCTGTCCGCAGGAGTTTGTTTACACCTGATAGATGCTTATTCTGTCCGCAGGAGTTTGTTTACACCTGATAGATGCTTATTCTGTCCGCAGGAGTTTGTTTACACCTGATAGATGCTTATTCTGTCCGCAGGAGTTTGTTTACACCTGATAGATGTTTATTCTGTCCGCAGGAGTTTGTTTACACCTGATAGATGTTTATTCTGTCCGCAGGAGTTTGTTTACACCTGATAGCTGTTTATTCTGTCCGCAGGAGTTTGTTTACACCTGATAGCTGTTTATTCTGTCCGCAGGAGTTTGTTTACACCTGATAGATGCTTATTCTGTCCGCAGGAGTTTGTTTACACCTGATAGATGCTTATTCTGTCCGCAGGCGTTTGTTTACACCTGATAGATGCTTATTCTGTCCGCAGGAGTTTGTTTACACCTGATAGATGCTTATTCTGTCCGCAGGAGTTTGTTTACACCTGATAGATGTTTATTCTGTCCGCAGGAGTTTGTTTACACCTGATAGATGCTTATTCTGTCCGCAGGAGTTTGTTTACACCTGATAGATGTTTATTCTGTCCGCAGGAGTTTGTTTACACCTGATAGATGTTTATTCTGTCCGCAGGAGTTTGTTTATACCTGATAGATGTTTATTCTGTCCGCAGGAGTTTGTTTATACCTGATAGATGTTTATTCTGTCTGCAGGAGTTTGTTTACACCTGATAGATGTTTATTCTGTCCGCAGGAGTTTGTTTAAACCTGATAGATGTTTATTCTGTCCGCAGGAGTTTGTTTACACCTGATAGATGTTTATTCTGTCCGCAGGAGTTTGTTTATACCTGATAGATGTTTATTCTGTCCGCAGGAGTTTGTTTACACCTGATATATGTTTATTCTGTCCGCAGGAGTTTGTTTATACCTGATAGATCTTTATTCTGTCTGCAGGAGTTTTTTTACACCTGATAGATGTTTATTCTGTCTGCAGGAGTTTGTTTATACCTGATAGATGTTTATTCTGTCCGCAGGAGTTTGTTTATACCTGATAGATGTTTATTCTGTCCGCAGGAGTTTGTTTACACCTGATATATGTTTATTCTGTCTGCAGGAGTTTGTTTATACCTGATAGATGTTTATTCTGTCCGCAGGAGTTTGTTTGTACCTGATAGATGTTTATTCTGTCCGCAGGAGTTTGTTTATACCTGATAGATGTTTATTCTGTCCGCAGGAGTTTGTTTATACCTGATAGATGTTTATTCTGTCTGCAGGAGTTTGTTTATACCTGATAGATGTTTATTCTGTCTGCAGGAGTTTGTTTACACCTGATAGATGTTTATTCTGTCTGCAGGAGTTTGTTTATACCTGATAGATGTTTATTCTGTCTGCAGGAGTTTGTTTATACCTGATAGATGTTTATTCTGTCCGCAGGAGTTTGTTTACACCTGATAGATGTTTATTCTGTCTGCAGGAGTTTGTTTATACCTGATAGATGTTTATTCTGTCCGCAGGAGTTTGTTTACACCTGATAGGTGTTTATTCTGTCTGCAGGAGTTTGTTTATACCTGATAGATGTTTATTCTGTCCGCAGGAGTTTGTTTATACCTGATAGATGTTTATTCTGTCCGCAGGAGTTTGTTTACACCTGATAGATGTTTATTCTGTCCGCAGGAGTTTGTTTATACCTGATAGATGTTTATTCTGTCCGCAGGAGTTTGTTTACACCTGATAGATGTTTATTCTGTCCGCAGGAGTTTGTTTACACCTGATAGATGTTTATTCTGTCTGCAGGAGTTTGTTTATACCTGATAGATGTTTATTCTGTCTGCAGGAGTTTGTTTACACCTGATAGATGTTTATTCTGTCCGCAGGAGTTTGTTTATACCTGATAGATGTTTATTCTGTACGCAGGAGTTTGTTTATACCTGATAGATGTTTATTCTGTACGCAGGAGTTTGTTTACACCTGATAGATGTTTATTCTGTCTGCAGGAGTTTGTTTATACCTGATAGATGTTTATTCTGTCTGCAGGAGTTTGTTTACACCTGATAGATGTTTATTCTGTCTGCAGGAGTGTGATGGGTTTCGTGTTCTCAGGCGTTTAGCTTCAGCCTCTTTGTTTTTAACATTTAGGTGTTTTCATGTACAAGCAGACATAAACAGAACCTGATTTAAATGAAACGTTATAAATGCATCGGGTTTAACCACAACAACAACTACCAGGGATTAGAGCTTTATCGTCATGGTAACAAACAGCTAAACGATGTCTGGAGCAACACTGATCCATGTTAGAGAGGAAAACCTTTCAGCTGATGTGTGCTCACATGTTCTCTCCTCAGATGACAAGTCCTGGAGCTGCTCTGGTGACAGGAGCATCAACACCTCCAGATGAGCCAGATGTTCTTCTGTCACAGGAAGTGGGTGAACATCTGGGCTTCAGGCGTCTGTCACCGACCAGCTGGGAGAACCGACACCGACATCCTCACACGGTCTGGACCACCCCCGGTTCAGGACCAGATCAGGCTTCACGTTGAAATGATGTAAGAGGGGCGTGGTTCATTCATGAGGGGGCGGGGCCTATGTAAGCTACTGATCCCTTCGACAAACCAGAGAGAGGAACGGGCTCAGGTGTTTCTGGATCCGCAGGTGGGAAGGGTTCAGGGAATTCTTCAACCTGGAGGCAAAACAATGAGAAACGCGTAGGGTCACACATCGGTGCATCCTCTCATCAGCACAGACACGTCCAGGCTCAGGGTTTAAAAATAAACATTCATCTGGATTTAAATAACCAGAAACACAGAAGAACTTCACTAACACGTAAATAAATCACTAAAAACATCTGATTTCATTAAAGATCTGTTCAGAAAGTCCTACAGGGACAAAGGCCTGGTTGTCACGGAGACAAGCATCCTGCAGCTCGCTGCGCAGAGCAGTCACATGACTGCGGTGGGCGGAGACTTCCTGCTCCAGCCAGCCGATCCTGGAGATGCAGGCGTGACACAGTTGGGAGACGACGGAGAGAAACGTCTGCAGACAGAAGGAAGTTAGGATGGATGGAAGAGCAGGATGCTCCTAAGCCCCGCCCCCTCACTCACCTGGCACATGGCCACCTCAGGAGCTCCCATGATGCTCTCTGCTCCCCTCAGCTCCAGGTGTTCTAGAGGTAGGAGGAGGGGGCGTGGCTGACTGGATATGGAGTCGTGTGATTGGCTGAGACTCTCTCTGACCTGTAGGGGGCGGGGCATTGTGTCAGCAGCTGTTACAGGGTTAATCCAGTGTGTGTGTGTGTGTGTGTGTGTGTGTGTGTGTGTGTGTGTGTGTGTGTGTGTGTGTGTGTGTGTGTGTGTGTGTGTGTGTGTGTGTGTGTGTGTGTGTGTGTGTGTGTGTGTGTGTGTCCTCTAACCTGCTTACAGCTCGTCTCTGCAGACTTTAAACAGTTGACGACACATGTGTGACGTCTGATGGAAAAAACAAACACTTTAATTTTTTTATTTCACTTCAAACTTTTCAGCATCAGAGAAAACTCGGTTTGTTTTCCCGAGTTTCCTCAGAACACCATCACAACGTGTGCTCATGTTAGCAGCACCAACAGGCCACCGTAGATCTGAGTCAGAACATCTGGATCCAGAACCTCCTCCCCACATCCCAACAGCGGTTCTGTTGTCCTCCTGCTGGTACCTGCTCAGGTCTCTCTGCCCCTCCTCAGCTCGCCGCAGACGCTCCTCCAGCTGCTGCTTCTCCTTCTGAAGCCCCGACAGGTGCTTACCCAGAATCCTTAGGGAGCGCTCCTTCCGGGCCACTTCCCTCCGTGCCTCTGACAGCTCCTGCAGAGGTAGAGACCGGTTCTGATAAAAATACAGAAAACCACTAAAGCCCATGGGTGAGATGATTAGAGGAACACCTGAGATGCTGCAGACACACGTTAGAACCTTCAGGAGCAGCTGTTAACGGCTCTCTACCTGTGCAGACACACACTCACCTGGGTGCTGTGGCTCAGAGTCTGCACCTGCTTAGACTGATCCTGGATCAGCGTCTGGGCCTCCTGCTCTCTGCTCAGAGCCTGATGGAGCTCCTCACACACACTCAGGAAATGGTCGTTCGGCACCTGGAAACACACACACAAACACACACACACACACACACACACACACACACACAGAAACACAAAGGTTCCATTTTTATTCTACAGCTGCTCCCCTGGCCTGTCTGCAGCCCGTGTGTGTGTGTGTGTGTGTGTGTGTGTGTGTGTGTGTGTGTGTGTGTGTGTGTGTGTGTGCGTGCGTGCGTGTGTGTGTGTGTGTGTGTGTGTCTCACCCCTTGCTGCAGACCTCTTCTCAGATTGGTCACCTCCAGCCTTAGGCTCCGCCTCTCTACCTCAGCTGAATGGAGGCGTTGGCTGAATAGAAGGAAGTGCTGCTGGAGGGCCGACACCAGGGCCTGACGGACGCACGCACGCACGCACGCACACACACACACACACACACACACACACACAGTAAGCAGGAGGAGACCACCAGTACCTCCTCCACAGACCTCCTGTTACCTTCAGGTCCAGCGCCCGACCGCTCAGACCGAGCTTCAGCCACTCGCTCGCTCCACCAGAGAAGCTCCCAGCTGATTGGTCGAGGAGGTGGTCCAGGAGGCGGGACAAGCCTGAGCAAGCAGCTGAGATTACACTAGGAGGGGAGGAGCCTAAAGAGAGAGAGAACGTTGATGTGATGCATCGTCTATCGGGTAATGGCGACAGAAACAGGAAGTACCGCGGTGAGCAAGCGCCTCCTGCAGGTCAGACATGGAGGACAGGATGATGGAGAAGAGCTGCTCAGACTGAAGCCAGCGGGTAAAACAAGCCTCAGCATCTTCAGCTGCAACATAAACAAATAAATATTATTGACATCGATAAAAAGGGACAGAATAACAGAAATAAAAGCCCACCTGTCTCAGGAGCTTTTTGACCCTTTTGTGTTGCCGTAAACAAGCCTCCACACACGCCCACAGCTCCTCCTCCTCTGTCCAGGTAGAGCAGCACAGTCTTCTTCTTGGTCAGGGCGCACCACCACTTCATGGCCAGCACCACCCATACGCTCCTCCTCCACCTCCTCACTGTCCTCCTCCTCCTCTCCTCTTCCACCACCTCCTTGTCCCTCTCACCTCCCAGAGCGTCCACTAGCCTCCTGACCTCCCCTTCCAGCCCCTCCCTTTCCTCCAGCCGTCTGGACAAGAGCTTCTTCTGCTCACTGAGCGCGCTCAGACGCTGGTGGGCGTGTCTCAGAGCTCCACCCAGCAGGCAGCAGGCGGAGGAGGTGGAGGAGGACTCCCGCTGGCTTCTGGAGAGGAGGCTCTGGAGCCGGGAGAGGTCAGAGGTCAGGGAGGAGCAGTGGTGCTCCAGAGAGGAGGCGCGGTCCCGGTGGGAGTCGCACAGAGAGAGACTCGACTGGAACACAGAATGGAAACAAAATAAAATCATTTAAATCTTCAGTTTTATCTTTATTTTACATGATTTTATTCCAGATGTTTTTATTTCAGACGTTTTTATTCCAGATGTTTTTACTCCAGATGTTTTACTCCAGATGTTTTTATTCCAGGTGTTTTTATTCTAGATGTTTTTATACAAGGTGTTTTTATTTCAGATGTTTTCATTTTAGATGTTTTTATTCCAGACGTTTTTGCTCCAGATGTTTTTATTCCAGGTGTTTTTATTTCAGATGTTTTCATTTTAGATGTTTTTATTCCAGACATTTTTATTGTAGATGTTTTCAATTTAGATGTTTTTATTCCAGATGTTTTTATACCAAGTGTTTTTATTCCAGGTGTTTTAATTCTGGGTGTTATTATTCCAGATGTTTTTATCCCACGTGTTTTTATTTTAGATGTTTTTATTCCCTGTTTTATTTCAGATGTTTTTATTCCAGATGTTTTTATTACAGACGTTTTTATCCAGGTGTTTTTATTTCAGGCGTTTTTATTCCAGAAGTTTTATTCCAGATATTTTTAATCCAGGTGTTTTTATTCTAGATGTTTTTATACAGGGTGTTTTTATTCCAGGTGTTTTAATACCGGGTGTTATTATTGCAGATGTTTTTAATTAAGGGGTTTTTATTTCAGATGTTTTCATTTTAGATGTTTTTATTCCAGACATTTTTATTCCAGGTGTTTTTATTTCAGGTGTTTTTATTCCAGGTGATTTTATTCAAGGTGATTTTTAATTCAGGTGTTTTTATTCCAGGTGTTTTTATTCCATATGTTTTATTCCAGATTTTTTTATTCCAGATTTTTTTATTCCAGGTGTTTTTATTTCAGATGTTTTCATTTTAGATGTTTTTATTCCAGGTGATGTTATTCCAGGTTTTTTATTCTAGATGTTTAATTCCAGATGTTTTTATTTCAGGTGATTTTATTCCAGATGTTTTTATTCCAGGTGATTTTTAATTCAGATGTTTTTATTCCAGATAATTTTAATCCAGGTGTTTTTATTCCAGATGTTTTTATTTCAGGTGTTTTATTCCAGATGCTTTTATTATAGTTCTTTTATTTCAGATGTTTTTATTCCAGGTGATTTTATTCCAGATGTTTTTATTCCAGGTGATTTTATTCCAGGTGATTTTTAATTCAGATGTTTTAATTCCAGATATTTTTAATCCAGGGTTTTTTTACTCTAGGTGTTTTTATTCCAGATGTTTTTATTTCAGGTGTTTTATTCCAGATGCTTTTATTATAGTTGTTTTGATTTCAGATGTTTTTATTTCAGGTGTTTTATTCCAGATGCTTTTATTAATGTTGTTTTGATTTCAGATGTTTTTATTCCAGATGTTTTTATTCCAGGTGATTTTATTCCAGATGTTTCTATTCCAGGTGATTTTATTCCAGGTGATTTTTAATTCAGATGTTTTTATTCCAGATATTTTTAATCCATGTGTTTTTATTCCAGGTGTTTTTACTCTAGGTGTTTTTATTACAGATGTTCTTATTTCAGGTGTTTTATTCCAGATGCTTTTATTATAGTTGTTTTGATTTCAGATGTTTTTATTCCAGATATTTTTAATCCAGGTGTTTTTATTTCAGGTGTTTTATTCCAGATGTTTTTATTATAGTTGTTTTGATTTCAGATGTTTTTATTCCAGATGTTTTTATTCCAGGTGATTTTATTCCAGATGTTTTTATTCCAGGTGATTTTATTCCAGGTGATTTTTAATTCAGATGTTTTTATTCCAGATATTTTTAATCCAGGTGTTTTTATTCTAGGTGTTTTTATTCCAGATGTTTTTATTCCAGATGTTTTTATTTCAGGTGTTTTATTCCAGATGCTTTTATTATAGTTGTTTTGATTTCAGATGTTTTTATTCCAGATGTTTTTATTCCAGGTGATTTTATTCCAGGTGTTTTTATTCCAGATGTTTTTATTATAGTTGTTTTGATTTCAGATGTTTTTATTCCAGATGTTTTTATTTCAGGTGTTTTTATTTCAGGTGTTTTATTCCAGATGCTTTTATTATAGTTGTTTTGATTTCAGATGTTTTTATTCCAGATATTTTTAATCCAGGTGTTTTTATTTCAGGTGTTTTATTCCAGATGTTTTTATTATAGTTGTTTTGATTTCAGATGTTTTTATTTCAGGTGTTTTTATTCCAGATGTTTTTATTTCAGGTGTTTTTATTCCAGGTGTTTTTATTCCAGATGTTTTTATTCCAGATGTTTTTATTCCAGATATTTTTAATCCAGGTGTTTTTATTTCAGGTGTTTTATTCCAGATGTTTTTATTATAGTTGTTTTGATTTCAGATGTTTTTATTCCAGATGTTTTTATTTCAGGTGTTTTTATTCCAGATGTTTTTACTCCAGATGTTTTTATTCCCTCTGACTGAACCAAAGTTTCTGTGTTTTACTTTCTTCTCTACAGTCAAACTTTCTGCTGACTCAACAGGTTTCCAGTCTGTCGCTGCGGGGAGACTTAACTACTACACAGCTCGCCAGAGACCTGTGTGTGTGTGTGTGTGTGTGTGTGTGTGTGTGTGTGTGTGTGTGTGTGTGTGTGTGTGTGTGTGTGTGTGTGTGTGTGTGCGCGTGCTACCTGCAGCTGGCCCTGTAGTTGCCTGACGGTGTCTGTGTACTTCTTGCTCCACGCCTCCTCCCTCCTCCTCACGCTCTTCTCCAGACGAGCCAACACACACTCCTGACTGTGCTGCAGCTTACGCACACACACACTCTTCCTGTCACACACTCTCTGCAGGTGGGCGATCTGCACAGAGGAGAGCAGCAGGTGGAGCAGAGCCAGAACATCTAACATAATCCTGAGCTGAGAACAGGTGAGAGGACGCTGCCACCAGACTCACCTGCTCATTGGCCTTCTGCAGGTCAGAGGTCAGCTGGTCCACGTGCTCACTGATGACATCACACAGCTCCTTCCAGGTAAAGTCTCCCACAATGCTCTGGGGCTGAGAGAGGAGGCAGCGGCCGACCAGCAGCTGCTGGTAGAGAGCGTAGAGGGAGGACAGGTGTACCTGGACGTGGGGGTGGGGCTTCATTAACACTTAATTAAACCGTTCACCACCTTGTGGGATTAGGCCAGAGCTGTGGTTTATTCTGGATTATTATCTACATGATTCTGTGAGGCGTAAAAGGTTCTGGTACCGTCAGACTCTGGTTCTGATGGATTAGTGAGGGTGAGGCCCAGCTTCACCTGGTTACCAGGTCAACTAAGCTGGTCAGACTAGGACGAGGTAATCACCACCACGAGCCACACTCTGGACCAGAACCAGAACCTCTGACTAGAACCCTTCAGATCAGAGTGGAGTACAACCGTTGACTCTTTGTTGAAGTCGGTGGTTATCTTCTGGAGCTCCTCCTTCCTCTCCTGCTCCTCCTTCTCTCTCTCCTCCTGCACACGCTGACGGTGAGTCAACCAATCAGATCTCTGCTGATGGAGATGGGTCACTTCCTCCTTCAGTTGGTCCAACTCCAGCCGCCAGCCCTGGAGAACAGACGCTCTGCATTAGAGCTCATTAGGGACTAAGGTTTCAGGAGCCCTGGCTGACCTTTGACCCCTCTGAGGTCTACACTAACACTCTCACCTCTGCTTGTCCCTTCTGATCTGAGGTCAGCTGCTGCAGAAGCCGGTTCTGCTCCTGGAGCTCCTGTGCAGCACGCTGCTGGTCCTGGACCTGTTGGGTAAAGAACATGATGACGGGTTCCCTCTGAGGAACCCAGAGCGCCAGCGGAGAGAACCCAGTCCGAACCTGTTTGGTGGACTCCTCCAGCCTGAGTCTGTAGGAGCTCAGAGTCTCGGTCAACAGCAGCAGGACCTCAGCAGAACTCCCAGAATCCTTTGCAGCTGGTGAATGACCGTGCTGCTGCAGCAGATCCCTGATCTGTTTCATGGAGGTCCTGAGAGCCTCCTCCGTGCTCGACCGCCTCTCAGCTGCCTGAACAGCAAAAACCAGTGAGAGGGTTCTGGTTCTGATCTCGGATCAAAGGCTCAGGAACTCTGGAGCGGGTCTGGCCCGACTCAAACAGCAGCTCCGTAGACAGGCCCGAGTTTGCTCCAGGCTTGTGTGTGTGTGTGTGTGTGTGTGTGTGTGTGTGTGTGTGTGTGTGTGTGTGTGTGTGTGTGTGTGTGTGTGTGTGTGTGTTACCTGCTGCAGCAGCATGTGTGTGTTGGCGTGACATTTCTTCTCCTCCTCAAACTGTTCTGAGAGGTCAGAGGTCCTCTTCCTCTCAGTATCCAAGGCAACAGTCATCTCAGACTTAGTCTGACTGAACTCAGTCTGTAACCTGCACACACACACACACACACACACACACACACACACACACACACACACTAGAACCTCCTCCTCCATAAGCAGACCCGTGGCGTTTGGACCCAGCTGATCTGACCTCTGCTGAGCGCGCTCAGCGCTGTCGCTCCTCTCTCTCTCCAGACTGTAGGCTCGCTCCACCTCTCTGAGCTGAGTCTGCAGCAGCTCCAGTCCCCGCTGCGCCTCCTGCTGGTTGGAGCGCTCCACCTCCACCACCACCTCCAGGTCCCTCACACGGAGCTGGGGGGGGGGGGTCCACAGAGAGACATGATGTTTATCTGTTTGTCATGCTAGATCGTTTACTCCTGCATGAATTTAACAAAGTTACTGAGTTACTTACAGCAGCTGGAAATCAAAAAGGTTTACTTATGAGATTTTATTTTTTTATTTCTACTCTCTTCTGCGGTTTCTTCATACCTGATTTATCACATGTCTTAGCTCATGTTAGCAGGTGTTAGCCTTGGTTTGCAACATAAGTTAACATATGCTGACCCATGTTACCACAAGCTAATATTCGCTAACCTATGCTAACACAAGCTAAAATGTGCTAACACAAGCTAAAATGTGCTAACACAAGCTAAAATGTGCTAACACAAGCTAATATATGCCTGTTCTGCTGGTCCACCGTGGTCACAGATCCAAGGAGAGTCCCTGGAGGATCTCTGATCTCGCTGGAGGCAGCAAAGCCGGAGCTGATGGGTAGTCTGGCCACCCAGGTCATCGTTGCGGTGCAAGGCTGTAGTCACACGGCAGTCGTGCTAGTATTAACTAAATAATTATTTTCCTACATTGTTCATAACATTTATTTCAGTACATGAACACACATAAAATATAAACCATAGTTTAGTTGGTTTCCATCTGAAGCGTGTGTGTTACCTGGAGGAGCTCCACCTTGTACCTGGCCTCCATGTGATCGGCTCGCTCCGCCTCCAGAGACTCCATCCTCTGATCCGACACCTGCAGGAAAACACCGTTAACTTTTACATCTGACCCTGGTAAACCCTGGTATAGCCTAGTATACCAAAGTAAACCCTGGAATACCCAAGTATACCCTGGTGTACTACGGTAAACCCTGGTGTAACCTGGTACAGATGTCCTCAGCTAAACTTGTTCCAGGGCCGGAGTTATTTCCTGCAGACACCGTGAGGGCCAGATGCTCCTCTAAAATAAAGTTCAAGCATTAATATTTATAACTGTTTTGTTTTCTATCTAAACTGTTTTGATTGTAGTTTTAGTTGTGTTAAAGTAAACAATTATTGACATCTGGGACACAAATTTTGGTGCTAAACTTCAAACTGTTAGGACTCAAAGGTCTAGCAGGTCGGATGTGATCCACGGGCAGTGTGTTGAGGTTCACTGCCCTGGTAAACCCTAGTAAGCCCTGGTATACCCCAGTAAACCCTAGTATACCTCAGTAAACCCTAGTATACCCCAGTAACCCTTAGTAAACCCTAGTATACCCCAGTAACCCTTAGTAAACCCTAGTATACCCCAGTAAGCCCTAGTATACGTTAGTAAACCTTAGTATACCCCAGTAAACCCTAGTATACCTTAGTTAACCCTAGTATACCTTATTAAACCCTAGTATACCTTAGTAAACCCTAGTATACCCCAGTAAACCCTGATATACCTTAGTAAACCCTAGTATACCCCAGTAAGCCCTAGTATACCTTAGTAAACCTTAGTATACCCCAGTAAACCCTAGTATACCTTAGTTAACCCTAGTATACCTTATTAAACCCTAGTATACCACAGTAAACCCTAGTATACCCCAGTAAAACCTAGAATACCTTAGTAAACCCTAGTAAACCCCAGTAAACCCTAGTATACCTTAGTATACCCTAGTATGCCTTAGTAAACCCTAGTATACCCCAGTAAACCCTAGTATACCTTAGTAAACCCCAGTAAACCCTAATATACCTTGGTAAACCCTAGTATACCCCAGTAAACCCTAGTATACCTTAGTAAACCCTAGTATACACCAGTAAATCCTAGTATACCTTAGTAAACCCTATTATACCCCAGTAAACCCTAGTATACCCCAGTAAACCCTAGTATACCCCAGTAAACCCTAGTATACACCAGTAAATCCTAGTATACCTTAGTAAACTCTAGTATACCCCAGTAAACCCTAGTATACCCCAGTAAACCCTAGAATACCTTAGTAAACCCTAGTATACCTTAGTAAACCCTAGTATACCCCAGTAAACCCTAGTATACCTTAGTAAACCCTAGTATACCCCAGTAAACCCTAGTATACCTTAGTAACCCCTAGTGTACCTTAGTATACCCTAGTATACCCCAGTAAACCCTAGTGTGCCTTAAGTAAGCATCTTCTTTGTGTTTTATCAGCTAATGTTGTGTCCAGGTTCTTCTGAGTGATGAATTAAACATTTAAGGTTTGATTCAGTAACATAAACTCTGGACACAAAAGACTCCAACAGGAGGAGCCAGCCTTGTGTCTCCTCCTCATCAGTGGAGCTCTGACCTCCTTTTCCCTGCGGCTCTTCTCCTCCTTCTCTTTCAGGATCTTCAGCTCTTCTGCCAGTCGTCCGTTCTCCTCCTCCTCCTTCTGCTTCTTCCTCTGCACCTCCACCATCCTCGTCTCAGACTCCTCCAGTGCCCGCTCCTGATCCTGAGAGGAGAAGAGCATATGAAGCCAGTAATTAGACGGATCCATTAGGGTGGAATAGAGAGCTGATGTCTGATAGAACACATTTGTTCCAAGTCCTCTGGACCCTGATGAATCCTCCTGTAGCTGATGTCTCATCCTGGCCTCTTTGACCTCCTCACACCCGACCTCTGATCGGAGCTCTGTGCTCCCTGTGTGGAAACTAACTAACACCAGGAGGGTTTTACTCCTGGGGGAGTCACACCTGCAGCAGGAGGTGCAATCTCTGGTTCTCAGAGCCAAAGTTCTGAATCAGTCGGTCTCGCTCCTCCAGCTCCTGCTGCAAAGCATGCTGGTCCTCGTCCCGGGCCTGCCGCATGATGCTCAGAGCCTTCTGCAGGTCGTGGACAGTCTGCTGGAGCTCTGCCGCCCGCTCTGAAACCAAAAACACACCAGCTGATGAGAACACGCCTACAGAACCTGTCGACACGCAGGGGAGGAGAAGATAGCATCATGGTGACCATGGCAACACCAGACTGACCGGTAGGAGCCTGTTCCTCGTGTTTCATTCAAGTGTGTGTGTGTGTGTGTGTGTGTGTGTGTGTGTGTGTGTGTGTGTGTGTGTGTGTGTGTGTGTGTGTGTGTGTGTGTGTGTGTGTGTGTGTGTGTGTGTGTGTGTGTGTTAACCTGTGAGAGTGTGTCTGTCTCTGCTGAGCTCGGCGGCTAGCTCGGCAGCTCTGCGGCTCGCGGTCAGCTGGTACTGAAGCTTCGCCCTCTGAGCCTCGCCGCGCTCCACTGAGGACCGGAGGCGTGTCAGCTCCGCCTGGAGCCCACATACCTGGGGAGGGGGGGCCTCTTTTATTAAAGGTTATAAGTGATGAACTTATTAACTTAAACTGGTTCTCTGATGAACTTGCTGATGTCTGGACCATTTAGATCCTTCATTAGCCTGGTCTCTAGCTTCTGGTGGATCATGTGACCTTTAATCCTAACTTGGGTCTGGGTTTGCTGTAAAAACAAACTGATCTGACCTCCTCCACCAGGGGGAGCTGTAGAGTTACTGGTTGGCTTTCTCACCTCCTGGTTGAAGCTGGAGGTCAGCTGAAGCTTCTCCTTCTCCAGCTGGTTGAGTCTCCCCCTCAGCCTCCTCCACTCGTCTTCGCCTCCCTCTGACTCCGCCCTCCTCCCTCTGACCCCCCTCTCAGATTCCTTCCCACCTCCTCGTTTCCTCTCTGCTCTCCTTCCTCTGTCTCCTTCCTGCTTCTCTTCATGACTCATCAAGCTGATGACCTCAGTGATCCTGAAAGACAAAAACAGAATCTTTGGTGGAGTTGAGAGCCGCCTGCAGACAGCCCACAGAGGCTCAGACACCGGTGGAGGACTTCAGCGTCCTGTGGAACACACAACGGTTCCACAGAGCAGATCTTTGGGCCCAGTAGGAACCGGTCCAGAACCTGCAAGATCCAGACCTCACCTGGTTTTCTGCTCCGCAGACCCAGAGGCGCTGCTCGTCTCTCCCCTCCTGACCCGTCCAGGCTGTCTGCTCCGCGCCGACGGTACCGGCTGCATCTCTGCTCAGAATCACCTCCAGCCTCCTTAAAGCTGAGAGATCATCGTGAATGACCTCCTACTGGTCCTCGCACACGACCTGCAGATGGAGGAGACCTCTGACAGGTACACGGACGTCAGCAGCAGGACTGGGTCACCCGAACAGAACCAACCAGAACAGCTCAGAGTCATTTAACTCAAAGAACATTTTGAAACGAAGGGAAACAAGACGGTTAAACTGGAGCTGCAGTAGGGCTGGGTGGGCGATACGGCCTGAAATCAATATGATGATATATCGAGGATGTCATCTCCATAACGACGAATGGACGATCGATAACTACAGGTATGCTCAGGAACAAAAGTTGTCCACTAGATGGGGCTGTCACATGTATTACGTGTGACTCAAGGTGCTACAGCTTCTTAAAGGGACACGAGTGTTGCCAACCTACACACATCTTTTTCTTTTTTATTATCAAAAGTTTTGGCGTGGGAAACATTCTCACGATAAGAGTCAGAAGCCCTAAGCTACAGACTCTGACAGCACGGCGAGTTGTTTCAGAGCAGAAACGGGTCCGATGGGTCACCTGACCTGCCGTAAAACCTGATTCAGCTTCATTCATGTGAAGTATAAAATAAACCCACGTCTACATAAAACGGTGGATGAAACTAGAATGATTCTTTATACCAGAAGTGATTAAACAGCCTCACTGGAGTCGTTGCGCAGTAACCTGCTAGTGTTTCCACCCTGGAGGCGGATCCAGGACCAGTAAAGATGCTGTTGCTATGACAACATCAGCACTGCACTTGATGCAACAAGTCTATTTAAAACTTCTCCCATCGAGATTTATCACAACATAATTTACGTTATAGCCCGTTTACACACACACACACACACACACACACACACACACACACACACACACACACACACACACACACACACACGCGCGTGGATAGTCTATACGTGTTGGGGTCTATAAATCCTTCGAGCCCAACACTCAGGTGAACCTCTACATTCTCTAAACGGAGCCTCTAAACATCCACTAAACTACTAACACAAAGAGATTTGTCGTGGCTTTTATTCAGACTTTAAAGAGTCTAAACAGACCTAAATCACAGCTAAACGAGTCAAAAACAACTTGTAACACCTGAACATGAAGAATTAACCGTGTAAAAATATCTTAATAACGCTTTAAAGTCACTTACTCTGAGGTTTGTTGTGAAAGCGTTTGAAACTGACGCCATCTTCAGCGTCCATACGTCGCTTCCGCATCAGCGTGAGTGACGTGAGAATCAGCCAATCAGAGCCTCCCAAATTTGTGGCTGTTCGTGTCCCTGTTTAAAGAGCGTCTCCGTGTCTAGGATGGTGTTTTCTGACTACGTGTTGTGATTGTTATGTTTACCAGCTGTTAGGGTTAGGGTTCAACACACCGATGACCTCAGGTGACCTCTGTTCGGAGCGGAGGGTCAACGGTTCAGCCAGAGGCGCAGCTAACGCGTCTACCGCTAGAGGGCAGCACGCGCTGCATAAACAGGAACCATAGGAAAACAACATGGCAGCTCCCGATGAGCACGTTGGTTCTACAGAGATAGAACCTCCTGAAAACGAGCGGACCGAAGCTCCAGTAACAGCTGACACATCTGGTTCCGAGCCGGAAGAACCGGACCCAGATGAAGAGGAGGAGAGCGAGCCGCCCGGACCAAAGATACGAGAAACCCCGGAGGACATCCGGCTGGAGGCGACCGCCAACACGGTGGCCGTGCATCCCAGCAGGGACCTGCTGGTGTGCGGGGACGTGGACGGGGACGTGTACGCCTTCTCCTACTCGTGCACGGAGGGGGAGAACCGGGAGCTGTGGTCGTCCGGGCACCACCTAAAGTCCTGCCGCCAGGTTCGGTTCTCTGAGGACGGGCTGAAGCTGTACAGCGTGTCCCGGGACAAGGCCCTGCATCTGCTGGACGTGGAGCGGGGACAGCTGGTCTCACGGATCCGGGGGGCCCACGGGACCGCCATCAACAGCCTGCTGCTGGTGGACGAGAACATCCTGGCTACTGGGGACGACGGAGGAACCCTGAAGGTCTCAAATCCCACCTGTGTGCTTTAGACCTCACCTGTCCGGTACCAGGTCCAGATGGGACTGGTTCTGGGTTTTATCTGTTAGTAATGTGAGAGAACTGGACCAGGACACACCGATCCTGGTTCTGAGGGCCGATACTGGTTTAGCTGAGAGAACACGAAGGATTATTCCTGAGTCATCTAAAACCTTCTGCTTGTGTGTGTGTGTGCAGGTGTGGGACATGAGGAAGGGGACCTCCATCATGGACATGAAGGAACACGAGGATTATATCAGTGACATCACTGTAGACCAGGCCAAGAGGATCCTGCTCACTGCCAGGTGATCCGCAGCACCGATATGAGCGTTTGGGCCGATGTCGATGTTAGTACAGCTGTCATGGCCGATGACCGTATTTACCGGTAGTGTGTAACATTTAGCTTTTGATGGCATTTAAAACCAACGGCACCACCTACATCACTTCTCTGCTTTAGTTCTACACCACACACTCCTGCTTCAGAGTCACATGACCAGACAAATACAGTAATCCCTCGTTTATCGCGGTAGATGCGTTCCAGACCTGGCCGCGATAGGTGAAAATCCGCGAAGTAGGAACTCCCAGCATGCCCCTCGCGGGGATTCCCTTCACGTCGCACCTACGTCACAAACCGCGGCTATAAACGGAAGTCGCCTTTCCAGCTCACCAATCAGTCATCGTTTCTTCAGATTCATGATCAGAGTTTCCAACCTACCGATCAATCCAACAAACTATCAGCTCATAGTAAGTTATCTTACTTACTTCTGGAAAGCCCGGCATTTCCGTGTCACTTCGTTGACGCTCGAACGCTCGGGGGTTTCCTAGATCAGCCGGCGTTTCACCGACGCTATCACTTCCGCGTCTGTGAAACCACGCTCCCTATTGAATTATCGTATGATCACATTCTCTTTTTGTGGGTAAAACTCAAGAAAAATTTTTTTTTACTTGTTTTCTTTAGTTTTATTACAAAAAGTGCATTTTATGATGAAACTGATGAAAAAAAAACAAGAATTTCTTGATATTTCGCATAGAAAACTACCGCGAATCAGTGAAAAATACCGCGAATCTGCGAATTCCCCCTGAAAAATGCTCCAAAGAAAAAATCCGCGAAGCAGCGAATCCGCGATGAACGAACCGCGAAGTAGCGAGGGATTACTGTACCCAGATGTGCTGTTTAGTGGTCATTAGGACTTTTTTATCACCCTAGAATCTGTGTTGAAAAATAAACATTCAGACATTAGTAAAAACACCAACTGGTTAATCTTCTGTCTGATCGATCAGACATCAAGGCTATCAAAGCAGAGAAGAGCTGCTCCTTAAGCGTGGAGCTCCAAACAGGAAGTATTTATTCCTTAAATGGGGTTTTCAGGAGTGTCTGTACTTGAAAACAGAATCGTATAGAAATACTGGATGCAGTAACCCAGTGTGTGTCATGCTCCACCTGTGTGTTTTGCCCTTGTTCTGCCATCTTTACTTCTCTTTTTATGGTTGAAATTTAAAATTAAGAGCTTACTAAAAGGTTTTGGATGAGCTGCAGACCAGAGAGGATGGTGATGCTCTCAAAAGTCGACAGGATAAGCCCGGTTCTCCAGTCTGAGCTCTAACGTGAGCCCTGGTCCCACAGCGGCGACGGAACCATGGGCGTCTTCAACATCAAGAGGCGGCGGTTTGAGCTGCTGTCTGAGTACCAGAGCGGAGATCTAACCTCGGTGGTGCTGATGAAGCGGGGGAAGAAGGTGGTCTGTGGCTCCAGCGAGGGAACCATCTACATCTTCAACTGGAACGGGTTCGGCGCCACCAGTGACCGCTTCGCTCTGAAGGCCGAGTCGGTGGACTGCATCATCCCGATAACGGACAGCATCATGTGCACCGCCTCCATGGATGGGTACATCCGGTGAGTGTTTACATACTGGTGATAAATCTGGGGCGGGTCTTAAACCACTCTGGACATGATAATCCCAGTAGGACCATCATGTGACAGGAACTGGTGGACCAGGCGGCATAAAACCTCAGAACTCTGTATCTACCAGGATCAACATGTTGACCAGTTAAACCAGTTTAGGACACTCTGTCATCCCCGTGCAGCCACATGACTCATTTGATAGGCATCTTCTAAGATCTGTACCGCTTCAGTAGATCCTGTACTCTGGTGGAGGAGCACGGTACTGGTGGTAGCACCAGTCTGATGTCTAATCGGTACTGGTGGTAGCACTAGTCTGATGTCTAATCGGTACTGGTGGTAGCACCAGTCTGATGTCTAATCGGTACTGGTGGTAGCACCAGTCTGATGTCTAATCGGTACTGGTGGTAAGACCAGTCTGATGTCTAATCGGTACTGGTGGTAGCACCAGTCTGATGTCTAATCGGTACTGGTGGTAGCACCAGTCTGATGTCTAATCGGTACTGGTGGTAGCACCAGTCTGATGTCTAATCGGTACTGGTGGTAAGACCAGTCTGATGTCTAATCGGTACTGGTGGTAAGACCAGTCTGATGTCTAATCGGTACTGGTGGTAGCACCAGTCTGATGTCTAATCGGGTCATTTAATCCACGGTACCATCAGCCTATCAGGAGTTCAGGTAAGTGTTTCTTGCATTCCTCTGTAGGAATGGAAACATTGCTGGTTTCTATGGTTACCATGGTTGCTTTCACAACAAGAGCCCCGTGCTAATGCACATGCAGACCTTACAGATGACTATCTGAGGAACATCTGAAGGTGATTCATGCTGAGAGCGGCACGTTTTCATCCTGCAGACTAGAATCCACCTTGTCGATCTCTAAGGGTCAGCTAGGTTATTTATTACTGTTGCAGCCTTCCACCAAAGATGGAGTCAAGTGTTTCGTTTGACGTCTAAAACCCAGACTCTTTTACATCTTCACCTTCTCCCTCCGGTCAGAGCCATCAACCTGCTTCCCAACCGGGTCATCGGGTGCATCGGGCAGCACGTGGGAGAACCCGTGGAAGAGATCGCTAAATCCTGGGATTCTCGCTTCCTGATCAGCTGCGCCCACGACCAGCTGATCAAGTTCTGGGACATTTCTAGTTTACCTAAGATGACTGTCAACGAATACCGCAAGAGGAAGAAGAAGGACGGGAGGATGAAGTCTCTGACCAAGAAGGCCCTCGGCGACAACGACTTCTACTCAGGACTGGTCCAGGAAACGGAGAAGGAAGAGGAAGAGGAAGAGGAAGAGGAGGATAGTGAGAGTGACAGTGATTAAAGCTGCTGTGCCTTTGGTGATTTTATTACGATGAGTATTTTTCCGTCTGTCTGTTTGTTGTTGTTATTATTGTTGTTTGAGATTATAATAGAACAGTTGATGCCAGACATTTATTTTCGAAATAAAAAACCCGTGGTCCTCAAAATGGAGACGTTTATTTCCTCAGAGGTTATAATCTGTGAACAGTCAGATGCTAACCGACTCTCGGCGTGCTGCAAAAACAGGAAAAGGTTTCATGAATTACAAGTTTTATCTCTTGGCACGAAGAACACAGTTCCATGATACAGTAAATCAACATAAGCATTGGTGGTCTATGTTTAACTGACTGGTATCAGTCTGATTAGTAAACTGGGCTGATATTAAAGAGCAAGTCACCCCCAAATCAAGCATTTATTTTTGCTAATAAACATAAATGTGTGTCTGATAGTGCTGTAGACGTGTGCAGTAAATAATTTGGCACTTTAGTGCAACTTGTTTTGCCGTCTTCTGGTAAAAACTCTGCACTGCATTTGAATTTAAATCTGCCATCGCTATTGGCTAAGAGGTACGCTTGTGTTGCTGGTACATTTTGATGTCACATACCAGCAGAATCATCGTACATCAGCCCAGAGTTTCTTATCGGTGCTTCCCTGTTATGTTACAAATAAATGTCGTGAATTGTTGTGCTTGTTTTTTAATACGGAGGTTTATTGAATTATGTAGCCATTAAACCTCAGTCTTATACATCAGTTATAAAATAAGAAACCGTGGTTCAACGTATTTTCAAAGGTGAGAGTTAGACCAACGTTGGTCTAGATGAGAAAAGCACTATTTCATTGGGTGAAAAATACATTTGGACCATACATGAATAACGTTGAGGTTTAATTTTAAACTGTCATGTATTAAAATACACACTTCAAAATATTGCAGAAATCTGTAAAAAATATTACGTTTCCATTTCTTTTCCATTTATACACAGAAGTGTAAAGCACTTTGGACTCCAATGAATGAGTCCTTAATGCATGGGTCAATTATCATGTATTGTTCTTGAAAAGTCGTCTTTTTCAACCTTCACTTTACACATCTATTTCATTTGGATCTCTTATGTCTTTTTGCCACGCTGATGAAAAATTAAATCATTATTAAGGGATTGTTTAAATAGACACAGTGAGGTTGATAGCACCTCCACCCTCTTTTGACCCACTGGTGTCAGGACAACCGTCTCACCCTCAACGTCACAACGACTAAGGAGTTGATAATGGACTTCCGGAGGAGCAGAGGAATACACACCCCCATCGCCATCAACGGCGACGCTGTGGAGAGGGTGAGCAGCTTCCGTTTCCTTGGAGTTCATCTGGCTGAGGATCTTACGTGGTCAGTGCACACGAACAATACAGTGAAGAAGGCACAGCAGCGCCTTCTTTCTTAGAAGACTGAAAAAATTTGGCATGAGCCGCCGCATCCTCAGGTCCTTCTATTGCTGTGCCATTGAGAGCATCCTCACTGGATGCATCACCGCCTGGTATGGCAACAGCACCGCTTACAACCGCAAAGCTCTCCAGAGAGTAGTGCGGTGTGCAGAAAGGATTATTGGAGGTGAGCTTCCCTCCAGGACATCTACAGGAAGCGGTGCGTGAGGAAAGCGGGGAGGATCATCAAGGACTCAAGTCACCCCAGCCATAAACTTCAGACTACTTCCATCAGGAAGGAGGTTCTGCAGCATCCGGTCCAGAACCAGCAGACTGAGAGACAGTTTTTTCCATCAGGCCATCAGACTGCTGAACACTTCACAGACACCTCACCCTCACTACTGAAACTCCAACATTACACACTCCATACTGTACATTAATGCCACTGTTTTGCACATACCAGCCTCTGTACATTTTATATATCTTATCTTATTGTTTACTTTATTCATTTGTAAAACATGTATATACACACTATACACACACTCACACACGTAGACAGAAAATTCTAGCACACATATTTAGTAATGTATATACCTTACATATTATATATATTATTACTTAGATTAGCCATTTTTATATTTTGCTTGTTTTTACGTTACTGTATTTTTGCACAACTCTGTTGCTGTGAAGCTCGCACACAAGAATTTCACTCGCATGTACTGTACCAGTGTACCTGCACATGTGACGTGACAATAAAAGCGATTTGATCTGATTTGACTTTGTTGGTACGGTCCAGCTGCGGGCGGGAAACAGCAGTGACGTCATTTGAGCGCAGCAGCAAACATGGCGACCTACGGGAGAGTGTAGCTAAGTAACAAAAAGCATCCCGTGTTTGTGGTACAAACCAGAAGATTGCGTTTTGTTCTGCAGGTAAATCCGCTCTTTGAACCCGACCAAAACTCCGGACCGAGCCGGTCCGGTGGAGCTAGCTGCGGGGTAGCGGCTGTTAGCTTGGCAGCTGCTAGCTGTATTTGTAAACAAAGACCGGACACGTTGCTGGAAACGAGCGCGCTGAGTTATTGTGAGAGTTTTGACCTTATTGTGAGTTTTTTCAGCCTGCAGGACGTTTCAGAGCAGAGGACAGGGACATCTGTCCTCTAGACAGAGGGACAGAAAAGGGTTAAACGACCGTTGAGCTTACACGAGTCTGAGACACCGCTTATTATTATTATTATTATTATTATTGTTATTGTTATTATTGGTATTTTCCTGAGGCTGCTGTAATCTGCAGCTGCGGTTCTCTGAGAGGAACCTGGATTATAAACCCAATGGGAGTTGATGGATTAACGCTTTAAAAAGTGCATGTCGTGTCTTGTTGGGCAGGCCCCTTTATTCATTGTTTATAATGGAGCATATTGTATTTATTCAGTCTTGAGTTTTACAGTAGCGTGTCAGTCCGTTTTCATGATGTAACACACACACACACACACACACACACACACACACACACACACACTGGGTGTGCAGGACTCTGGGAAACGCATTTCCATTCAGAAGTCCATCATTCCTGGTCTCAGTGGTGCGTTTCATAGGGTGAAGTGGGTCGTCCGGGGTTGCTGGTTTGTTTCCAGCTCTTCCATGCCTCACATCCAAGTCACTCTGGATGTCAGTCACTGGTAAAGTCATGAAGATAAATGTGTATTCTGTTAGGTAAACGTATAACCTGAACTGGGAGGTGGGAACACTCTGGGATATGAAATCTGGTGACGACTCCTTCAGCAGCTACAAACAAACACTCAGTCTGATGCTGTTATTACAGATGTTGTACATGAGTTGTGTACGGATGTGGTTTGTGTTGGGCTCTGCTGAGCGGGATCACCAGTGTTCCCAGCATGAGTTGGGTTATGGTCAGTGGGACGTAAACCCTGATCCTCTCTGCTCTGGTTTCAGGTGATTTCTGCTCTCTGAGCCGTGGAGCAACAGGATGGCTGGAAAATCGGGGGACCGGTTCAAGGCCGGAGAGCTGGTGTTCGCCAAGATGAAGGGCTTCCCTCACTGGCCCGCCAGGGTAAACACACACACACACACACACACACACGCCTGCAGCTGGATGGTATTGACCTCTGTGTGTTTGCAGATCTGTAAATCAGAAGCAGGCTACAAGAAGCGAGTCCCAGTCTACTTCTTTGGGACCCATCAGATGTACGTACAGGCTCCGCCCGACCCGCTGCTCCGTGTTCTGTCCCGCTGTGACCCGACTCTGGTTGTTCTCTCCTCAGAGGCTCCGTCCCGCCGGAGAACGTGGTTCCGTACATCGGGAACAAGCTCAAGTATGGCAGCGGCGTTCGCATCAAGGGCTTCACTGAGGGCATGTGGGAGATCCAGAACTCACCCGGACTGGGCAGCAAACTCAAAGTGGGTCTCTCTGTAGTCCTGTGTGTCTGGGGTCTCGGTACCACACCGCTGGTAGTCGGTGCCGCGGTAGACCTCTGGTTTGTAAGCTCGGTTTGAGACCAGCAGCATCAAGTTTAGAGAGTTTCTGCTGGCTTGTTTTAGCCTCTGATGTTCTCACCAGATCAACACGGATATGTGTTCCGTTGAGACGTTCTGAAGGTTCTGTCGCTTCCTCAGGTACCCGGAAAGATCAGCTCTAATATGACACCAGTAAGACCAGCCCCTGCTAGCAAACCCACACCAGTAAAACCAGCTCGATCCGGAACTCCTCCAGCTAGACCAAGGGGATCCCCCACCTCCAGCAGATCTGTCGCTGACATGAGCTCCCCAAACAGAGTCTCGGGTGTCATGGAGACGTCTGTGAAATCCAGCACCAGATCTTCATCTAGACTAGCTCCAGAACAACATCCGGAGTCCCGCCAGGTCAGTGAACCAGAGGAACACTCCACCTCCACGAGGAGCAGGAGGTCAGTGAGCGGTGGTCCTGCTGCAGAACAAAGAGAGAGGACGAGTCCAGGGGAGATAAAGACGGAGGTAAGAAAGCAGCATTCCTCTGAGAGTTCATGTCTGAGGAGGAGACCATCCCTGGGGTGATGTAGCAGGATGTTTTTATCTCTCCTCAGACCAGATCAAACAGAACGTCTGATAGAAAACCTGCAGCTGAAGCTCCACCTGAAGTCCCGTCAGCCCCCAGGCTGGTCGGAACACCGAAGAGGTCCGATGCTGCAGAGGCGGAAGAAGCTGCTGCGACAGGGAGGGTGTCCACCCGGAGCAAAGGGGTGGAGTCTAAGGTAGAGCTAACATGCAAACACCTTGTTTTAGTACGGTCCATGTGCACACCCCATGTTACTTTAGTACGGTAAACGTGCACACCCCATGTTACTTTAGTACGGTAAACGTGCACACCCCATGTTACTTTAGTACGGTCCATGTGCACACCCCATGTTACTTTAGTACGGTAAACGTGCACACCCCATGTTACTTTAGTACGGTAAACGTGCACACCCCATGTTACTTTAGTACGGTCCATGTGCACACCCCATGTTACTTTAGTACGGTAAACGTGCACACCCCATGTTACTTTAGTACGGTAAACGTGCACACCCCATGTTACTTTAGTACGGTAAACGTGCACACCCCATGTTACTTTAGTACGGTAAACGTGCACACCCCATGTTACTTTAGTACGGTAAACGTGCACACCCCATGTTACTTTAGTACGGTAAACGTGCACACCCCATGTTACTTTAGTACGGTCCATGTGCACACCCCATGTTACTTTAGTACGGTAAACGTGCACACCCCATGTTACTTTAGTACGGTCCATGTGCACACCCCATGTTACTTTAGTACGGTCCATGTGCACACCCCATGTTACTTTAGTACGGTCCATGTGCACACCCCATGTTACTTTAGTACGGTCCATGTGCACACCCCATGTTACTTTAGTACGGTCCATGTGCACACCCCATGTTACTTTAGTACGGTCCATGTGCACACCCCATGTTACTTTAGTACGGTCCATGTGCACACCCCATGTTACTTTAGTACGGTCCATGTGCACACCCCATGTTACTTTAGTACGGTAAACGTGCACACCCCATGTTACTTTAGTACGGTCCATGTGCACACCCCATGTTACTTTAGTACGGTAAACGTGCACACCCCATGTTACTTTAGTACGGTCCATGTGCACACCCCATGTTACTTTAGTACGGTAAACGTGCACACCCCATGTTACTTTAGTACGGTCCATGTGCACACCCCATGTTACTTTAGTACAGTCCATGTGCACACCCCATGTTACTTTAGTACGGTCCATGTGCACACCCCATGTTACTTTAGTACAGTCCATGTGCACACCCCATGTTACTTTAGTACAGTCCATGTGCACACCCCATGTTACTTTAGTACGGTCCATGTGCACACCCCATGTTACTTTAGTACAGTCCATGTGCACACCCCATGTTACTTTAGTACAGTCCATGTGCACACCCCATGTTACTTTAGTACGGTCCATGTGCACACCCCATGTTACTTTAGTAGGGTCCATGTGCACACCCCATGTTACTTTAGTACGGTAAACGTGCACACCCCATGTTACTTTAGTACGGTCCATGTGCACACCCCATGTTACTTTAGTGCGGTCCATGTGCACACCCCATGTTACTTTAGTACGGTAAACGTGCACACCCCATGTTACTTTAGTACGGTAAACGTGCACACCCCATGTTACTTTAGTACGGTAAACGTGCACACCCCATGTTACTTTAGTACGGTCCATGTGCACACCCCATGTTACTTTAGTACAGTCCATGTGCACACCCCATGTTACTTTAGTACGGTCCATGTGCACACCCCATGTTACTTTAGTACAGTCCATGTGCACACCCCATGTTACTTTAGTACAGTCCATGTGCACATCCCATGTTACTTTAGTACGGTCAATGTGCACACCCCATGTTACTTTAGTACGGTCCATGTGCACACCCCATGTTACTTTAGTACGGTCCATGTGCACACCCCATGTTACTTTAGTACAGTCCATGTGCACACCCCATGTTACTTTAGTACGGTCCATGTGCACACCCCATGTTACTTTAGTACAGTCCATGTGCACACCCCATGTTACTTTAGTACAGTCCATGTGCACACCCCATGTTACTTTAGTACGGTCCATGTGCACACCCCATGTTACTTTAGTACGGTAAACGTGCACACCCCATGTTACTTTAGTACAGTCCATGTGCACACCCCATGTTACTTTAGTACAGTCCATGTGCACACCCCATGTTACTTTAGTACAGTCCATGTGCACACCCCATGTTACTTTAGTACGGTCCATGTGCACACCCCATGTTACTTTAGTACGGTAAACGTGCACACCCCATGTTACTTTAGTACAGTCCATGTGCACACCCCATGTTACTTTAGTACAGTCCATGTGCACACCCCATGTTACTTTAGTACAGTCCATGTGCACACCCCATGTTACTTTAGTACGGTCCATGTGCACACCCCATGTTACTTTAGTACGGTAAACGTGCACACCCCATGTTACTTTAGTACGGTAAACGTGCACACCCCATGTTACTTTAGTACGGTCCATGTGCACACCCCATGTTACTTTAGTACGGTCCATGTGCACACCCCATGTTACTTTAGTACGGTCCATGTGCACACCCCATGTTACTTTAGTACAGTCCATGTGCACACCCCATGTTACTTTAGTACGGTCCATGTGCACACCCCATGTTACTTTAGTACAGTCCATGTGCACACCCCATGTTACTTTAGTACAGTCCATGTGCACACCCCATGTTACTTTAGTACGGTCCATGTGCACACCCCATGTTACTTTAGTACGGTAAACGTGCACACCCCATGTTACTTTAGTACGGTAAACGTGCACACCCCATGTTACTTTAGTACGGTCCATGTGCACACCCCATGTTACTTTAGTACGGTAAACGTGCACACCCCATGTTACTTTAGTACGGTAAACGTGCACACCCCATGTTACTTTAGTACGGTCCATGTGCACACCCCATGTTACTTTAGTACGGTAAACGTGCACACCCCATGTTACTTTAGTACGGTAAACGTGCACACCCCATGTTACTTTAGTACAGTCCATGTGCACACCCCATGTTACTTTAGTACGGTAAACGTGCACACCCCATGTTACTTTAGTACGGTAAACGTGCACACCCCATGTTACTTTAGTACGGTAAACGTGCACACCCCATGTTACTTTAGTACGGTAAACGTGCACACCCCATGTTACTTTAGTACGGTAAACGTGCACACCCCATGTTACTTTAGTACAGTCCATGTGCACACCCCATGTTACTTTAGTACAGTCCATGTGCACACCCCATGTTACTTTAGTACGGTCCATGTGCACACCCCATGTTACTTTAGTACGGTAAACGTGCACACCCCATGTTACTTTAGTACGGTAAACGTTCACACCCCATGTTACTTTAGTACAGTCCATGTGCACACCCCATGTTACTTTAGTACGGTAAACGTGCACACCCCATGTTACTTTAGTACGGTAAACGTGCACACCCCATGTTACTTTAGTACGGTAAACGTGCACACCCCATGTTACTTTAGTACGGTAAACGTGCACACCCCATGTTACTTTAGTACGGTCCATGTGCACACCCCATGTTACTTTAGTACGGTAAACGTGCACACCCCATGTTACTTTAGTACGGTAAACGTGCACACCCCATGTTACTTTAGTACGGTCCATGTGCACACCCCATGTTACTTTAGTACGGTAAACGTGCACACCCCATGTTACTTTAGTACGGTAAACGTGCACACCCCATGTTACTTTAGTACGTTAAACGTGCACACCCCATGTTACTTTAGTACGGTCCATGTGCACACCCCATGTTACTTTAATACGGTAAACGTGCACACCCCATGTTACTTTAGTACGGTAAACGTGCACACCCCATGTTACTTTAGTACGGTCCATGTGCACACCCCATGTTACTTTAGTACGGTAAACGTGCACACCCCATGTTACTTTAGGATGGTAAACGTGCACACCCCATGTTACTTTAGGATGGTAAACGTGCACACCCCATGTTACTTTAATACGGTACGTGTGCACACAGGTGCAGGGTCGCGTGCTCCGACCAGCAGGGTTTCCCGGGGGGGGGGGGGGGGGGGGGGGTGCTTAGCCTGGCGGGCCGTCAGGCTTGTAAAGCACTGGGGGTAATCCTGATTATCATCCAAACAGGAACACACAGAGGACACCACTAAAGTTCAGAGAGTGGAAATGGCCGAAAATCTATCAACGTGAGGCTGAGGCTGAAGCCTTCTCCAGAGCTAGCTGCTAGCGCTAGCTCTGACACTCATGCTCAATCAAATCTAATTAGTTATAATTTCAAGCATTTTGTTACACCTAAGTGGTAGGGTTACAAATAATTCTCCCCCTTCAGAGTTGTCATGACTGTGAACCAGATCTATTAAACCAGCGGTGGGGAATACTGGTATTCGAGGGTCGTTATCCTGCATGTCTTTGCTCCAACACTTCTGATTCAGTGGCTGATTCACCTGTTCAGCAGCTCATCAGGCGCTGCAGAAGCCTGTTAATCACCTGCTGATTGAAATCAGGTGTGCTGAAGCAGGGTTGAAACTAAAATATGCTGGATAGTGGCCTTCGATGGACCAGGGTTCCCCACCCCTGTATTAAACCTAAAAAGAATTTTTGAACCAGGCTGTAAACTTGTTTATTTCTTCTGTGAAGTTGGCATTTTTAACATGAAAAAATGAGAATTTGCTCTATTTTGGATCCAGCCCCTAGCGGATGAGGGTGGAACTGCAATTTTTGTCACTTTCACGTTGGTTTCACAATTTTCAAAGATTACTGCCCCATGAGAAACACAAATAACAAACTATGTTGTTGTCATAGTCCACTTCAGTACTGGACATATGTCGACTGCCCTTCTTTAACTTGACTCCATTTAATAGTACTTGTTTTGTCTCTTCAGGTGGGGTCAAACAAACCTGAAGCTGAGGCTCCACCTGAAGTCCTATCAGCCCCCAGGCTGGCTGGAGCACCAGAGAGGATTGAGGAAGCTGCTGCTGCAGGTCGAGTTTCCACCCGGAGCAGAGGGGTGGAGTCTAAGGTACCACAGCTTATGGAGCTAGCAGCCAGGATAAACACAATCCGCTATTAGAATGGTGTCTAGTGTGGTCTGGTTGTTCTCCTAAATAAATCTCATCTGGCCAAATAAAATCCTAGATAGCGACACCTTTTCTTGCATCACCACAGCTTCTTCTTTGTTTTAATTCGGTATGTAGGACCTGGTTTACGTGGTGCTATTGTGGTCGTTGAATCTTGTGTGTGTAGAAGATGTATAATCACAGTCGTCACAGAACAGTGGGCCGAACACGCATCCCTGTGGAACTCCAGGAACAAAGGAGAGTCTCATCAGGAGGTGGTGATTGGCTCTGGTGTAGGAACAGCAGTGGGGTTTTGTTTAACTTCAAACAAACCATAGATTCAGTTCCTTTAATGTGAAGTTCTGATGTTGTCTGCTCTTTGTCAGCTCGATGGTGTCCCTTCTGTAGCCACGCCTCGGAAAAAGAGGAAGGAGGAGGAAAACGAAGAGAGCCGGGAGGCCAAGAGGAAGAAAGAAGAGGCAGCTGAAAAAAAGGAGGTGCAGAACAAAACCAGTCAGAGCAGTAGTGAAGAAACGAAAGGAGAAACAATAGAAGAGATGTCAGAAAACCGAGGAGTAAAAAGAAAAACAGAGGACACAATGGAGAAAAGAAGAGAGGGAATAAAGACAAGAAAGGTCGAGAAAGATGAGGAGAAACCCAAGGGACTGATAGCGAGAGAGGAAACAACTGAGAAGGAAAAGGAGAGAATACAAACAAGTAAAACTGAAAAAGAGGACACAATTGAGGTAACAAGAACAAGGAGTGCAGAGAGAGACATGGAGAAAACAGAGGAGAAACGGGAGGGAATAAAGGCAAGAATAGCTGAGGACAAAGAACAGAAGCAGGTAGAAAACAAGAAAGCAAAAGTAGAGAAGGCCAGAACGAGGAAAGAAACAGAAAAGGCGGTGCAACAGGAGAGGGAGGTGGATGCTACAGAAGGAAAGACAGAGGTGAGCCACGAAGCAAAGAGGAGGGGAGAAGGGGAAAAGAAGGCACAGCAGAAAGGGAAACAGGATCAAGGGGTAGAAGCGGAGAAGAAGAGAGAAACGTCAAGTAGTCCAGAGGTGGAGGAAGAGAAGAAAGCAGAGGAGGGGAACGATGACCAGGTAAATCTGTTTCAGTTTCCTTATTAATAGCAGCAGATCCTACATTTCCAACAATTCAGCTAGATGATATTTTCTTTCTTGTTTTTATTCACAATCTCTTGTCTGAAACAGCAACATCACCAGCTGGCGGCCCAGAGAGAGAGCCTGCTGAAGTCTCTGAGAGGTCTGCTGAAGACCAAGGACCCCACCAAGAAGTCCACCAAAGAGACTACTAAGAAGGCCACCAAGGACCCCTCCAAGGAGTATATAAAGCAGACTAGCAAGGAGGTCACCAAAGGGACTACAAAGAAGATCACAGAGGACACCTCCAAAGAGGCTGCCATTCTAAGCGCTAAGGAGGCTACTAATAAGACCACCAAGGAGGCTCCCAAACAATCTACCAAGGAGACCTCCAAGGGAAATGTCAAGCAAACTACCAAGAACACCACCCAGGGGTCATCCAAGCAGTCCAGCAAGGACAGTGCCAAGCATACAAGCAAGGACACCCCCAAGGACTCCTACAAGCAGTTCACCAAGGAGACCTCAATACAGTCCACTAAGAACATCACCAAGGAGTCCTCCAAACAGTCTGCCAAGGAGACTGCTAAGCAGACTAACAAGGACACCACTACGGAGTCTTCAAAACAGTCTGCCAAGGAGACCACTAAGGAGTCCTCCAAACAGTCTCCCAATGAGGCTGTTAAGAAAACTAGTAAGGACACCACCAAGGAGTTCTTGAAGCAGTCTGCTAAGGACACTCTTAAGGGGTCCACCAAGGAGTCAGCTAAGCAGTCTGCCAAGGAGACTGCTAAGCAGACTAACAAGGACAACACTAAGGAACACTCTGCCAAGGACACCCTCAAAGAGTGCTCGAAGCAGTCTGTCAAGGACATGACCAAGGAGTCCTTGAAGCAGTCTGCCAAAGACACCAACAAGGAGATCTTAAAGCTGTCTGCCAAGGACCCCACCACGGAGTCCTTAAAGCAATCCATCAAGGACAATAACAAGGAGTCTTTGAAGCAGTCTGCCAAGGACACCAACAAGGAGTCCTTGAAGGAGTCTACCAAGGACACCAACAAGGAGTCCTTGAAGCAGTCTGCCAAGGACACCAACAAGGAGTCCTTGAAGCAGTCTTCCAAGGACACCAACAAGGAGTCCTTGAAGCAGTCTACCAAGGACACCAACAAGCAGTCCTTGAAGCAGTCTTCCAAGGACACCAACCAGCAGTCCTTTAAGCAGTCTTCCAAGGACACCAACAAGGAGTCCTTGAAGCAGTCTGCCAAGGACACCAACAAGGAGCCCTTGAAGCAGTCTGCCAAGGACACCAACAAGGAGTCCTTGAAGCAGTCTGCCAAGGACACCAACAAGGAGTCCTTGAAGCCTTCTGCCAAGTACACCAACAAGGAGTCCTTGAACCAGTCTTTCAAGGACACCAACAAGGAGTCCTTGGATCAGTCTGCCAAGGATCCCACCAAGGAGTCCTTGGATCAGTCTGCCAAGGACCCCACCAAGGAGTCCTTAAAGCAATCCATCAAGGACAATAACAAGGAGTCTTTAAAGCAGTCTTCCAAGGACACCAACAAGGAGTCCTTGAAGCAGTCTGCCATGGACACCAACAAGGAGCCCTTGAAGCAGTCTGCCAAGGACACCTACAAGGAGCCCTTGAAGCAGTCTGCCAAGGACACCAACAAGGAGTCCTTGAACCAGTCTTTCAAGGACCCCACCAAGGAGTCCTTGGATCAGTCTGCCAAGGACCCCACCAAGGAGTCCTTAAAGCAATCCATCAAGGACAATAACAAGGAGTCTTTAAAGCAGTCTTCCAAGGACACCAACAAGGAGTCCTTGAAGCAGTCTGCCATGGACACCAACAAGGAGCCCTTGAAGCAGTCTGCCAAGGACACCTACAAGGAGTCCTTGAAGCAGTCTGCCAAGGACACCAACAAGGAGCCCTTGAAGCAGTCTGCCAAAAACACTACCAAGGAGACCTCCAAAGAGACAACCAAGGAGTCCACTAACGAATCCACCAAGGACCCTCTGTAAGATTAATAGCATTCTTAGTGAGTCTAAAGCTCCTGAATGAGAAGTTTAAATCTGTCTTATTTTATGTTTGTTCCAGGAGAGCAGGAGGAGAGAAGACATCTGAAATGAAGATGAGGAAAAAAGGACAAGAGGAGGAACAGGTGGTCAGCCCAAAGGGGACAGGAGAAAAAATGGTAGCGAAAGATTGGATGAAGACAGAGATGAACATCAAAACAGAGACACGAGAGAGTGAGAAGAGGTCCACCAGGAGTTTAACAGCAGAGAGGAGACAAGATGAACATAAGACCGGTGAGACAGAGACATTAAAAGAAGATCAAGGCGACGGGAAGGACAGAGGAGCGTCTACCCTGAAGATGACTTCAAAGAGGAAGAAAAATGTAAATCAGGATGAGAGCAAAACAGTCAAAATGTCCACCAGAAAGTCAACAGTAGAGATGAAAAAAGATGGACAGAAGACAGAGGAAGGTGACAAAATGAAACCATCAGAGAACAGTAGAAAAGAGAGACGAGATGAAGAGAAGGAGGAAAGGAGTAAAGTAACAGAGAAGAGAGACACTGAGACGGAGGAGAAAATGTCCACCAGAGGGTCAACAGCAGAGAAGAAATCAACTGACCTGAAGAAGGATGAACAGAGAACAGAAAAAGACAAGAAGACAAAAGAGAATAAACAGAAGGTGGAGGATACGGAAAAAAACGAGGGAACAAAAGAGAAGAAAGATGAGGATGGCAAGAGGGATGAGACAAGACAGGAGAAAGATGAGAGAAAAATAATCGGAAAGATTGTTAAAGCGAGTGGAGGGACAAAGATCCATGTAAAGACGATGATGGGTGGAGCAGCAGAGGAGGAGAAGAGGACTTCTGAAGGAGAGAACAGAGGAGACACAGAGGAAAAGGAAAGGAAGAGCAAAAAAGACTCTGAGACGGAGGACAAAACAGGCAGGAGGAAAGAGGAGGAGGGCAGGAAGAACAAAGGAGAGGACACAACTGATGGAAAGAAGGAGAAGAAAGAGAAGACAGACATAGAGAAAAGAACTCGAGGACAGAGAAAGAGACACAAAGAAGAGACGCATACCAAAGAGGAGAAACCCTCATCAGGACGACCAGAGAGAGGACAGAAGAGCAGCAAGGAGACAAGAAGCAACACTGTCAAAGTGGACATGTCCACAGGGGATGGGTCCACACCCAGAGAAGTAGAGGAGAAGACAGCACAGGAAGTTAGACCAGAAACAGAACCGGTGGAGGAGAAGAACACGTCTCTGACGGACTCCACCCTGCATCGGATCCACGGAGACATCCGGATCGCTCTGAAAACAGGCACCCCTGTGAGACACACGCACGCACACACACACACACACACACACACACACGCACACACACACACACAAAATAAAAGGTCAAACACACTAATATTTCATTATGGCCTGTATTTGATATTTGTATTTGGGACGACGGTGGCACAGGAGTTAAGTGCTTGCCCCATAATCGGAAGGTTGCAGGTTCGAGCCCCGCTCAGTCTGTCGTTGTGTCCTTGTGTCCTTGGGCAAGACACTTAACCCACGTTGCCTGCTGGTGGTGGTCGGAGGGACCGGTGGCGCCAGTGCTCGGCAGCCTCGCCTCTGTCAGTGCGCCCCAGGGCAGCTGTGGCTACATCGTAGTTCATCCCCACCAGTGTGTGAATGTGTGTGTGAATGGGTGAATGACTGATTGTGTTGTAAAGCGCCTTGAGGGGTTCCAGGACTCTAGAAGGCGCTATATCAAATACAGGCCATTTACCATTTTTTCATTATGGGCTTGACACACGGGAGGCGGACAGCGGTGAAATCGAACCTTCCGGTGTTTTGTTTGGCTGTGTCAGGTTGGAGGGAATTAAGGTTATTTAAGCGGTTCAGAGTTAAAAAAGCGGTAGATATGATGTTTCACAAGGTGCTGCTAGAGTTATGTGAAATCTTCTGATTTTACTATATTTACCTGATGTGTTCATTCTGGCACCAACAGTTTCCCACGCCGCAGATTCTTTGTGAATATCTCTATATTCTTTGGTAGAAATGTTGTACGGTTCTGGGAAATCCGTCACAGCAAGTATCAACTTCTCCATGTTTGCTCGGAGGTGTACGGAGCATCCTGTCCGCTCATTGGTCAGTGATTGAAACCTCCGTTGATTGGTCCTCGTCCGAGCGACAGCGATGAAAAGCTGGAAATATTTCAACTTTCTGGGATCGCGTCGCTGGGTCGCCTGTGCACGACACGTGCACCGGCGCAAAATTCACACGCACGATTTTTGCGTTTCGCTGAGTAGGAGGGAGACCCGCGATTATCGCTTTGTCGCGCATGTCTCATTGAAAATGAATGGAGGAGAGGCGATGTCGCCTCCCGTGTGTCGAGCCCATTCGACCTCCTTTAGCTTTGTGTCACTGTGACGTTGTTCCAATAAGCTTCTGCAACATCACCAGATTAATGTTCTACCAGGATCTTGCAGTGATGGCGGTAGAGTCTGAACGCGGCACAAAGCCTTCTCCAGCACGTCCCAGAGACTTTTAATGGGGTTAAAAGTACGGAGGAGGATGTTTCTGAATTTCAGGAAAGGACCGCCCGCTCCAGGTTTTGATCCTCGTGAACACTCTGTAGCTGCCGGCCTTGCAGCTACTCCTCTAGCAGCAATGAATTTCTCCAAATAGCACGATGAACTTTATTTTACCTGTCGAGCAGAAAACCGGCGATAGAGGCGTCTATGGGGAGCCCAAAGTTCGCTTCCTGCGCGCGCCATCGTTGAAGAGTCGCCTAAAACCTCTGGTCTTATTTCTCACTTCGGAGGCCTTTCTTTTCTTATCCTAGACTTCAATTACACGTTTTCTCCTGCAACTCTCAGCCGCTTTGAAACGGATCCGGTGAGAACGGTGAGGAATGAAGCACGCGCAGGAAGTGAAAACTAACCCTGGAACGAGCACGTGCGACGGCGGCCTTGCGTGAAAGCTTCTGTAGAATGATTCACAGTTATGCAGACAAATGGTTCAGACGATCCAATACGAAGAAAACGTTTTATTCGTAGACAGAAATGACCGGAAACGTGGGTTTAGAGGTGGCAATCGCATGAAGAGGTGGAGAATGAAGAACAAATTTGTCTTATAAAGTCTATGAAATACACTCACCTAAAGGATTATTAGGACCACCTGTTCAACCTCTCCTTAATGCAATTGTCTAATCAACCAATCACATGGCAGTAGATTCAATGCATTTAGCAGTGTGGTCCTGGTCAAGACCATCTCCTGAACTCCAAACTGAAGGTTAGAATGGGAAAGAAAGGTGATTTAAGCTATTTTGAGCGTGGCATGGTTGTTGGTGCCAGATGGGCCGGTCTGAGTATTACACAACCTGCTCAGTTACTGGGATTTTCACCCACAACCATTTCTAGGGTTTACAAAGAATGGTGTGAAAAGGGAAAAACATCCAGTATGCAGCAGTCCTGTGGGCGAAAATGCCTTGTTGATGCTAGAGGTCAGAGGAGAATGGGCCGACTGATTCAAGCTGATAGAAGACCCTAACCCTCGTTACAACCGAGGAATGCAGCAAAGCATTTGTGAAGCCACAACACGCACAACCTTGAGGCGGATGGGCTACAACAGCTGAAGACCCCACCGGGTATCACTCGTCTCCACTACAAATAGGAAAAAGAGGCTACAATTTGCACCAGCTCACCAAAACTGGACAGTTGAAGACTGGAAAAATGTTGCCTGGTCTGATGAGTCTCCATTTCTGTTGAGACATTCAAATGGTAGAGTCAGAATTTGGCGTAAACAGAATGAGAACATGGGTCCATCATGCCTTGTTACCACTGTGCAGGCTGGTGGTGGATGTGTAATGGTGTGGGGGATTTTTTCTTGGCACACTTTAGGCCCCTTGGTGCCAACTGGGCATGGTTTAATGCCACGGGCGACCTGAGCATTGTTTCTGACCATGTCCATCCCTTCATGACCACCATGTACCCATCCTCTGATGGCTGCTTCCAGCAGGACAATGCACCATGTCATAAAGCTCCAATCATTTCAAACTGGTTTCTTGAACATGACGATGAGTTCACTGTACTACAACGGCCCCCACAGTCACCAGATCTCAACCCGATAGAGCATCTTTGGGATGTGGTGGAACGGTAGCTTCGTGCCCTGGATGTGCATCCCACACATCTCCATCAACTGCAAGATGCTATCCTAGCAATATGGCCGACATTTCTATAGATGCTTTCAGCACATTGTGGAATCAATGCCACGTAGGATTAAGGCAGTTCTGAAGGAGAATGGGGGTCAAACACCGTACTAATAAGCCTTCAGGTGAGTGTATATAAGCACAGCAGTTAATACACTATGGTGGTCCAGATAGATAACTATAATGGTGGCTTGATACCACAGAACAGCGCTACGCCCTCTGTGGTGCTGGCGAGGAATTGCTTTGCAACACTCCCCAGGTGACGGAGAAGTCCGAGAGCAAAAGGTATCTGTCGGTACGTGTGCGTCTCTCTGTTGTGGAGCTGACTGAGAAGTAAAAACCAGGCACTCACTCTGGAACAGGGCCCATTTGGACTCAAGTTTTCCATAGGGATGTCCCATTCCGATATCGGTCCAAAAACACTATCGGATTATCTCGGACTGCATCGAAAATCTCCGATATTAGCATTACGTTCTGCTTTCAATTCCATTCCAACTATTCTGTCCGTCAGCGCCCAGATCCAGCATGCAAAGTCCACGTGACCAGAACAGTGTGCTAGCAGAGCAGCAAGGAACAATGGTGGCCATGTGGCTGTATTTTCCGTTAAAGTCAGAAAAAGACGGTTGGGCTCATGCACCAGTTTCCCGTGGTGGAACAGAACCGGGGAAGATTATGAAGTCCGACTTCACCGTGCATTTGAAGCAGGATCCCTAAACACTGCACGAGGCTTTTCTCAGTGTGAACTTTAAACTTTAGACACTTGTAGCAGTAGGTCAGTGAACAGTATTGTGTTTTTTCCCCTTATGTCCCTAACCTCAGCTGTTCCCATGTCTGCAACCAAAGGCTAATGAAATACTGGCCAGTTTTTTATACTTCCTGTTGCTGGCTTTAGTCTTCTGTCTGAGCAATATCACTTGATCAAGTCTTTTATACACTCCTCACTATGAGATAGGTAAAAGTTTGTGTGATTTGTGCTGGTATCGTATCGGTTTGACATCGGTATCAATCAGTGCTGCAGGCTGCGATATCGGTATCGTATCGGAAGTGACAGAGTTGTATCGGGACATCTGGTTCTTCACGATGCGTCGGACAGATCTTAACCTAATTTTAGTCGTTTCTGCATCTCCTTAGACGTTTCCTCTGCTTGAAGCCTATGATCTGACCCTTCTCACACAGACTAACATCTTCTCCACGACCACCAGATGTGTCTATCCTCCTGGCTGTAGATGAGAAGAGACACATTGCTCCAGTTGGGTTAAATAACTTGTTGATAATCGCCCATGCAGTAATTATCTAATAGGCGGCTCCTACCTATGTGCTTAGTTAAATACACACACACACACACACACACACACACACATAAAGGTGTGCTGTGTGTCTGCAGGACATCAGGAAGTGTCTGGCGGCGCTGGACCAGCTCAGCATGCTTTATGTGACGTCCCAACACATCCAGAACCACAGTGAACTGGTCTCCACCCTCAGGAAGGTGACTGCCTCTGATCCGTTCATCTCCAGTTACCACAGGAACATCTAGTCCAGCAACTTTCCCGTCCCGACGGCAGTTCTGTTGTTGCAGTACCACCTCTGAACACCAGAGTTCGCCAGTGTCCGTTTTCCATATTCAACCTTTAACCGCTTCATCTTCCTGCATTTATTTGATCATGTGACAAGCTCACCTCTTCTTCTGTGGTTTTCAATTAAATGTATTTTGATAGCGGCGCTCTCGCGCCCCCTAGTGACACAAAATGTCTTACACCCACAGCAGCGGCAGGATGTCAACCGCTTACGCAGTGAATCAGTCAAAATGATTTTACTGTTTAACAAAGACATCAGTGGCAGCTGGTGAAAAATAAATGTGCGTGTGTGTGTGTGTGTGTGTGTGTAGATGCGGTACTACCGGGCCAACCAGGCCATCATGGACAAAGCCTCCATGCTCTACAACCGCTTTAAGAATGCCTTCCTTGTGGGGGAGGGGCAGGAGGTGGTGAGCGCTGCCTTCCTTCGCTCGCTACTGGAGGAGAAGGAGCGGGAGCAAGAGGAGCAGCAGGTTGTTCTCCACCTGGGGTCATCGTGTTTGTGGAAGCCTTTAACTTTAAGCTCACTTCTGTTTTTGTTTTTTTTTTAAAGGCGACTCAGCCGGACTCGTCCTGAAGACCCAACCCCCTCCGATCCGAGGGCGGGGTCTCCTAACCGCACACCCCTGTGTGTGACCTCACACCTGGACATTTATGATCAACGCCACTCCGCATTAACCAGATCAGCCTGTATTTAATGGTTTCTATTTTAAATCCTCCTCCTGAACACTCACCCACTTCCTGTTTAAGTCCCGCCCAGCCCAGAGGGAGGGGCTGATGGGAAATGTGGTTCTTAGTTTTGTGAATAGACTTGAAGCTTTAACCGGTAAACCTGTACAGGAAGATTTTATCATCACACCGAGACAGATGTTTACAGATGTTGTTTTAAGGTGCTTTTTACTGTCTGGGTTTTTCACTGCGTTTCATAAACTTGACTGATGAACGTAAAGACGTGGTTTTGTGTCTTTGTTCTGCGTTTGCGGGTAATCGGGTACGGCACTGAGCCCAAAGGGCTGACTCATAACAGATGTGTGGATCTGGTCTCCCTCTGCGGGACAGGACCTACAGCCAGCCAAAGCGGGTCATCAGAACCACCACGTCATCTTCAGAAGTCTATGGTGACGTCATCATAATCCTCATCCGATCCCTGCTCAGTGTGGGTGGGATGAGTCGTCTCATTGGAGATGGAAGGATGAGTCAGAGACGTCCTTGACTGACTGACAGGTCAGTGAGTGGTACCTGTGGTTCTGCGTTGATACAAGGACACCATGATGAGAGTAGAAGACACACGGACACAGCACCACCAGGAGGAGGAGCGGTCAGGCCAGAGGGGAGGGTGTGGGCGGGGCTGTGGCTGCAGGTTTACCTCTGGTGTGTTCTCAGTGTTTAGTTTCTAATTCCATTGTTGGAGGACGTTGTCGCCCTCTGCTGCACGCAGATAAACGGAGCAGGAAGTGACGCCACCATCAGCGTCAGCTCTGAGGTTGCTTTGCAGTCGGCAAACGAAACGTCAGCAAGGTAAAGAAAAACCTTTCCTGTGTTTAAAAAAGAACCAAAAATGGAACGTAGGTTTACCTGTACAGAGTCTCACCTGGTCAGGTCGCTGAGATTAGTAATGAGGGTGAAGCTCCTGACCTCTGACCTGTGATCAGTCACCAAAAATAACCTCTGGTTGATTATTTATGACCTGAATAATAAACAATAACGAGTTTTAGGTGATTCTTTCTTTTCTGTAAGAATATTTGGGGACTATTTTGTCACATTTTAATTTCCTAAAACAACTCCATGCATTTATCACAAACTCTTCCTGCTTCTGTCATCAGCAAACACAAAATCAGTCGGATCTGGGCTTAGATTAAAGGAGCCGCTGAGGGGGTCCTACAGGGCCCGCATGAGGCCCCGGAGCCACAGAGCTTCCTGATGGGAGGAACACGTTTTCTTTTACTCCAGTTTTTCTTCACACTTTTTATCTAAAAGTTCCTATTTCTCATTTTCATTATAAGGTTTGTAATAATTTCTTTTTGCTTTTGTTGTTTTTGTGAAGCGCCTCGTCTTCAGAGGTTCTACGTAGAAATAATGAAATCTGCAGATTCGAGACAATCTGAGGAAGAACAGAGACATTAAAGTCAGCTGATAAATGATTTTTATAAAAGAAGGAAGTTTAATGAGTTAAATGTTTCTGTAACTCAACCTGAACGTGACCTGGAGGTGCGTTCAAAGTCTCACAGAATTATTACAACTCCTTGTTATGTTGTTATGAAGTTAAAGCCCACAGTTGGCACACACACACACACCAGTGTGAGGTGAAAACTGTCCTCTGTAACTGACACACCCCCGTGGGGAGTCTTTGGTGAGATTTGAACCCCGATGTCCCAGTCCCATGGTGGACACCACCAGGCGTCTGAACTGGTCCTACTGGTACTCATTCCTTCTAGTGTTTAGGGATCTGACAGAAACACGTTCATAAACACCGATCATGCTCAGCAATGTTTCTTTAAACAAACAAGCAAACAAACTCATTAAAACATGTAAACACATGAAAGAAGGTCAGTAAAAACACCTCTAAATGTGTTTTTAAAGTTTTATTTGGTTTTGAGTTTAAAGTAGTCATTGTATAACTTTTATTTTAGGATTTAAAAGTCTTAAATATGATTATTAGGATGACAAGTGACTCGTTTTTGTGTGATGTTCTCTTTATCAATGAAGTTGTCTGAGTTCCCAGCGTCCCTGAACGCCTCAGCTCCTCCCACCGGACAGGTGACGCGCACCGTGTCCGTTTCGCTGTCGGACTGGTTTTTTACTGGTTGCTGTTTGTCTATCCGGGTCCTCCCGCTCCAGCTGAGGACGGGTCAGAACCAGAACTGAACTCCGGGTATTACTGGTGCTTTCACGGACTTCCGGGATGTTTCATCTCGCCGTTCTCTCCTTCTTAATGTGGACCGGACCGGGACCGGGAGCTGCCACCGTGTGTAAGTTCTTCTGTATTCTCTCCTGGTCAGCAGAACCAGAACCAGCTGCTGAGCTGAGGTGGTGAAAGGGAAGGTTCTGATTTTCTTGTTTGATTTTCACGTCTATCAGGGCAGCTGTGGCTTCAATGTAGCTCATCACCTTCAGTGTGTGAATGTGTGTGTGTGTGTGTGTGTGTGTGTGTGTGTGTGTGTGTGTGTGTGTGTGTGAATAGGTGAATGATACACTGTAGTGTAAAGCGCTTTGGAGTCCTCTGACACTGAAAGGCGCTATACGAGTGCGGGTCATTTATCCTTTTGTTTCTGTTGTAATTGACTTAAGGATCAGCCTCAGTTTGGAGAAACAGACATGTACTCACCGGACGGAGGAGCTAACTGCTAGTGACCATAGGACTGGTTCTGATGAGTCCAAAACCAGATTCAGTCTCTAATCATTCATACAGGCGTATTAGATTCTAGTAGTGGAGCAGTATGACATCAGTCTCAGCTGACTCCGCCTTTATAAGAAGCTTTAGCTCACAGTAATAAAGTACATTTTGTGAGATTTCTTGGATGGAGTCTCGTTCCTGGTCTCACCCGTTCACACAGGTCTAATCTGTGTATATTAGGGACGCACAGTTTCCTAAACTTCCTCAACCGGGTATTGACGCCGCTTAACGGTTCGGGTCGGCCCCTGGAGGCACGCCAGCATTTACCCTGGCTCTATAAATAACACTGTTCTGTCTACTCTCACATGATTCTGATGCACAGCTACATCCCACACTCGGTACACGAACAAGAAGGGAAGAGAGACAGGGATGTCCCTGAAATGTCCGTCACTCAGAACGCGTTGCGGTCGTCTGGCATCAAACACGCGGCGCTGCTTGTGACTGCGTGCTCATGAGCACATTTTGGAGGCCACAGTTTTAAAAACACTTTAGTTTCCTTTAGGGCTGCTCAATTAATCGAATTTTAATCCCAATTACGATCTGAGTTTTGAACGATTATAAAAACAAAACAAGTCGATAATTTGCTCCTCCCACTTGCGCTGCCCTGAGTTGCAAATGAAGCGCTCCTCCCACAGTGTTGCCAACGTAGCGACTTTGACGCTATTTCCAACAGCTTTTATGACCCCCTTCTTGACTTTTTTAATCTTAAAAGTACCTAGCGAACACCTCAGAAACATCTCTGGTAACCCTTAGCTACTTTCTGGATAACGTCGTCGACATTTGCTGCAGGTTAGCTAAACACTCCGCCTGCGCTCCGGACCGTTCTTCAGGACATTAGGAAAGGGAATGATGTAGTGATGTGTCCGTCGCTAAAGAAACAGCTATCGGAGCCGGCTCCCTGTTGGATTAACCAGAGTGTGTGACACACACACTGTACCTGCGGACTCCTGAGCCGCTAAAAATGGCTAAATGTGCGCGTGTGGCGCGCTAAACACACGTGCAGCTTGCCCTGATTGCTGTGAGACCGGGTTGGGGGGTGCAGCTGTGGTTGGGACAATTATTACATTAGCTGATGGGCTTGTAAATAAATAGTTTATAAATAAGGTAGAAATAACTGGGCTGGGCGAAAAATCGATCAAATGAATTAATTTGAATTTTTGTTGCAGGCGATTCATAAAGTAGGTAAATCGAGTTTTTTGTAATGGCGCCTTTTTGGCCCTCCGGAGGTCCCATAGCATCAGGTTCCCCACCCACGAGCGAGCAATAACACACAAAACAACAGACAGCAAGCGACCACATGGCAACCGGTGATTGCGGTGAGAGTGGGAAGTTTGTTCCGAAGAAGGAACAAACGCAGGAGCGTCATTTAGGGATGGGTACCTTTGACATTTGAATCGATCCGGTACTAATTCCCGGTACCTACGAATCGATACCGGTACTTAACGGTACCAATTTTAGATACTTTTGAGTATTTATTATTTTAATTCTCTTTTATAATTAAATATATATTTTTCTCAATATATAACAATATTTGATAAATATCATGATAAATAACATACAACTGTTTGTATTTTAACATTGTCCTTGTAGTTTTATAAGCTGATAATTAAACTGAAGCAAACATCTTTACTGTGAACTAAATTTACTGTGTATCTTCATTCCTTTTACTGTCCTTCTTCAACTGATTTTTCCTAATGGGAAGTTAGAATTTCCGAGGAGAAAGCGAACGCACCATTAGATAACAATGGTGGCATAGGAAGCTAACATATCAAGCTAACGTTATCTTAAACAGTTTATTTAACTGCTGGAGCAGATTAAAACGATGATGCCTCACACTTAGATCGTTGTCACTGGTTTCATCTTCACCCAATCACCCGTCGCATTTAGTAAAGTGAAGCCAAACTTTAGAGCGCGTTCATGTTCTTCTAGCCGGAGATTCGGAATTCCGAGGAGAAAACGAATGCACCATTAGCGAAACGGAAGCTAACACATCAAGCTAACGTTATCTTAAACATTTTATTTACCTACCGGAGCAGATTAAGATGAGGATGTCTCACTTAGATCGTTGTCGCTGGTTTCATCATCACCCAGTTACCCATCACATTTAGTGAAGTGGACCCAAGCTTTAGCTGCGTTCTTTTTTTTTTTTTTTTTTTTTTTTTTACCGTGTCCTGTCTGGCTGTGAAGCAAGCAGAATTGATGTCTGAATGCTGGTAACAAGCCTTACAGATTTATTCTCAGGTGGAGCATCAAAGTGTTTGCTTTTAATGTCACGCCTGATACTTAAAACTTTATTGTTATTGTTGTTGAATGCTTTGTAATTCCGACCAGACACGGAGACAGAGGTGAAAGAGAAAGGAAGAGAAAAGGTGGAGAGAGAGGGGGGGGGGGGGGGGTTCCACAAAAATAAACAATGAAGAGTCTGCTTCTAGACCTGCAGAAAAAGACAAAAAAAACAAAAGGACACAAAAAAGGGACACAACAACAATACAAGATCTACCTATCACTGCGTCAACTTGATGAAAAAAAAACAAAAAAAACAATATATATATATATATATATATATATATATATATATATATAATCAACATTGCTTAACTGAAGAATCACGATAATAAATCACAGTGCATTAAGTGCCCACCATAGTCTTAAGACCTGTGTTGAACGTGCCCAAGTCCATACTTTTGAGAGCACCATGTGAGCACCTGTGTGTGTACACGTTCTTGTTTATGTAAGGTTTCTCTATAGGAGCGTCCAACAGAGAGTGTGAGGGACCACAGATCCGCCCCCCAAAGATGCGCAGGAGACGGGGGGAGCTCCAAGTCCCAGAGATCCAGGCGTTGCCCCAGAACACAGGAACCCCAAGGAGACTGCAACCAGAAAGGAGCCCGCCCCCCTCGAGAGGCACAGCGGATCGCCCCAGGGGGGCCACAACCAGCAGCTGGCAGAGTCCCTGGAGATATCAGCGGCAAGCCCACAGGCCCGCCCGCAGCCTCCCACCCCCTAGCCGGCCGAGCCTGGGACCCAGCGACCCGGGACCCAGGGGTGACCACCCCCGCCGGGGACCCAGCAGAGCCCAGGGACCCAGACCCCACCAGGCAGCCACCGGGATCTATCAGGCAGATGCCAAAATCTTAAACCCCCTGACCCGGTTGCCACGAACACTCAGGCAGACCAAGGCACAAGCCCCCACACCAGGTGTGGCAGGGGGAGGGGGGACAAAGATCTATATTATCAAGAGAAGTTCCAGGAGAGGGGAGGACCCAAAGGCCCCACCTGACATATACAGTCATACACAAACACAGTCACACACTCCCTCCCTCATGCTCACACATGCACATACAACCCAAGACTACAAAAGTGCACGCCGGACACCCACTCATGCTCCCCATACACACCCTATTCACTCTGGTCCCGGTACTGCTGCACATTGGGTACAACCATCACCGGTAACCAGAGTTTGACCCTTTCTGCTGGGGTGCTGATGAGCAGGCTCCCCCGCCCAACGCTGAGCACAGCAACCCACCACCCCAGACCCCAACCAGACGGCCAGATCTCCCTCCTAGCCTCCAGGCCTCCAGCCTAGCCTTTAGCGTGCGTTCTTTCTACCATGCTGCTCTGTTTACAACTGGCTCGCAGCGAGCGACGACATAACGCTCTTGCGCATGCGCAGCTGTCTAGGCAAGTTCTCGTTATGAAGGACTGGCACCGAAACGAGGCACCGTTTCAAATGAGGTGAATCGGTGCTCAGTCGGTACTGTGGAATTCGGTCGGTACCTTAAAAAGTACCGAATTCGGTACCATCGCTAGTCATGGCCGACCGACCTGTTGCTGGCCTCGCTTCAGTTTGCTGCACCATGTCCTGCCAGGCTCAGAGCTTTCACGTGAGGCTTGTTGTGCTCCAACAATGAAATAACGGCTGCCACACTGTGCTCTTTGCTAACCGCGTCATGTATGAGAACATTTGGTCCTGGCCCATTTCTTCTTCTGTGGTTGCCCAGTAAACATCTTGATAGTGGTGCTCTTGCGCCCTCTACTGTCACAAACTAAATGCCACCCCAGCGCAGCTGAAAGACTTGATGTTGTAACCAGGTAAAATTATTTAACTATTAACTATGTCCATCACTAGTTTAAATGTGACAGATGCTGCATCTGTGACTAAATACGCTCATTGTCATTTAGACTGGATTCCCTTTAATCTGATTACTTTTGCGCCAAATTACATTCAAATAAAAAATCAAAACAAACTAAATAATTCATCTGCCTTCAGACAGAAGATGCTTAATATTCTTTAAGTTTCATTATTTGGTTATTTTTCTACACAGCTTAGTGAAACAGAGTTTTTTACCTGACACGTTTGGACTCTAGCCATCATCTGAGTTTGCCGGTGTTGGTGGTGTCACTACCGATTGTCTGCGGGTGGTGGAGGAAGACATCGTCCTCCTTGCTGAAGACACTGGGTGTTTCTCAACGTCAAGACGCCTGGCCTCATGAGGCGATGTCTTGCGAGGCCAGGCGCCTTGCGTACGAGGACGCCGTCCTTCCTTGGTCAAAGAAAACGGTTAAATGGAACAGACTTGCATCACACGACCACGGCTTCCACGGCGGTCACGTAACATCAGGTGACACGGGAGATAACGTTATATTTTATACGTATTAGTGTCAATATAACTATACAACGAGCCTTTTACTTTTTAAATTGTGTATATGTTTATTAAATTAAATATATAAGTGAGTTGCTACCCGCTAGCCACCAGAGCTGCAACTACTAAGCAACCAACCAACCATAGATAACTTCTTTGGATCTAAAAAAAAAACATTTAAATTAGTTGTCTTACTTTTAAATTTGAAAAATTTCCCCCAAGTAGCTGCCGGCTTCTGATCTGCCGTCCTTTTGAAAATACTGCGGTGTATTGTGGGTAATTTTTGACCAAGGGGTATCCTCGCTCAGCTAGCGAAACGGCTAACAAACGGAGAACACACACCTCGGTAGAACATGAACATTGGAACACGTCTCGGCGGCTCCTGATGACGTATCTCCTAGGCAACCGGAGCGGGGCCAAGACATCAAGGCGAGATTCCTTGGCATTGAGCAACACCCACTGTCCCATCCATGATCCATCGGGAATACTGAGGCCCTGTCCACACGTAGCCGGGGATCTGCCAAAACGTAGATATTTTTCTACGTTTTGGCCTGTCATCCACACGAAAACGGAGTTTTTTAAAAACTCCGGCCAAAGTGAAGATCTGCGTTTTCTCCGTTTTGGGTGTCTGCGTGTGGACGGACAAAACCGGAGTTTTAAGGTCCGCAACGTCACTTTCCGCGACAAAAAAATGCTGACATCACGTGTGCGACCTGTGTTTACACTAGCCGACAGCATGGATGCCCTCAGAGCTGCGCCCGCTTTATCAATTGTCCAAGCGCTTTTTGCTTGTTTGTTTTTGCAAGAGGAATTACTGCTCCTTGCGGAAGACCACAGACGAAGGACGAGGTTAAGAACGGGGGAAGTACTGCCGTCTACAGGTCTGGCATGTCCTTAACAACGTATTTATCCGGGTACGTGTGGACAGTTTTTTTAAACGAGGCGGTGTGGACGCAAGTTTTTGGAGGGGCGGATATTCGTTTTTAAATAAACCCGGCTACGTGTGGACTAGGCCTTAATCGTCTGTTCAAGGTTGTGTCCACGTCTCCTTATTTCTATGGCGTCTTTGATGCATCTCTAGTATTTTTTCGTTTCTGTGTTTATGTTCCAGTCCCTTCCGTGGTTTTCTCGTGTTCCCTCTGATTTATCTGTTGTACTTTCTGCTTCTTTATGTTTTTTGGATGACATCTAATATAACTATGTAAAACCTTTTAATGTGGTCTTTCCTCTGTTAAACGAGCTGCTTGTCTTCACTCTAAACTCACGTTTCTCCTCTTCTCTACCACTTTTGAACGTTTTGATAGACCTTCCCTCAGAGCTCGGACTCAGGTGAAGTGGAGACGATGCTCTGACCCCGACACCACAGACGCATCGCTCTTAGAGAGAGAGAGAGAGAGAGAGAGAGAGAGAGAGAGAGAGAGAGAGAGAGAGAGAGAGAGAGAGAGAGAGAGAGAGAGAGAGAGAGAGAGAGAGAGAGAGAGAGAGAGAGAGAGAGAGAGAGAGAGAGAGAGAGAGAGAGAGAGAGAGAGAGAGAGAGAGAGAGAGAGAGAGAGAGAGAGAGAGAGAGAGAGAGAGAGAGAGAGAGAGAGAGAGAGAGAGAGAGAGAGAGAGAGAGAGAGAGAGCTCTTTGCTCGTCCTTCCTGCCAGACTGGTTTGCCCTCCTTCTTGTTTATCTTGACTGTCAGAAGCTTTCAGACTCTTCTGAACTCAGAAACGTATTTGTTTCAGTCCAGCTGGGTCACATGACCCCAGTTCTGCTCTCTGATTGGCTCTTATCCACTCTTCATCCTGCCTGCCTCCTCTTCCCATTGTTTAGCATTGTTTGTTGTTG